CTGCAGACCGTCACAGAAATAGGACGAAACGATCCTGAAGAATTTGAAAGCAGTCACCTGCCTGAAACAACTCCTGCACATCATTGCTATTCTGCTGTCAATTGTACATCGGAGCAAGTGTAGCCACCCACGAACAAGCAACAGCACTGGGCAACCATCCGACAGCAATTTTTTTGACTTCCACCCATACAGGACACCAAGCGGACCAACTGCACCCCAGGTGACTGCCACCAGTAGCCGCATGGCAAGCGTCATGAATCGAAACGGCTCCTCATTCGGGACCTCCCAGTGTTTTTTCGGCAGATTTGGCGGCTCTTTGATCTTTGGGTTGGGGGGGGATCAGCCACAACTCCTGCTCCAGGACTTTTCAGGGGAGTGCTTTAGGAGAGCGCGCTGAATCGGGGGACTGGGGGTCTTATGGGGGGGTAGATTATTTGTGCGGTTCAGGTTGGTTTGTTGGCTTCGGGCTCGCATCCACACCCTACAAAGCCGGCTGGCAGTTTGCAGATGCATTGAAGAGAGCCTTGAGTCGAGTTTCCTCATTCGTGTGGCGGCTTCAGCTGTGGGGATAACCAGATAACCCCGGGCAACAGACTCCGGTAAGGGTACTCAAGAATGACAAGAGCCATCTCAGGACACCGCAGTAACCGTCGCAGAGTTGAGGAGGATGATGAGATGCGCACCTCAGAAGTTGCAAGAAGCCTGAATCCCCTTTTCGGTGACTTCGGGTGACTTGATCTCAGATGAGGCACCAATGGCATGGACGACGCTCGTCATTTCCTGCTCAAGCAGATGCCTGCCGGGATTTGCCGCGCCACCCGTAGTCTCGGTCTTTGTGGTTGATTGTCATGCTCTGCCAGGCCTTCTGTACGTCCTGGAGGTGGACTCAAACTCCCACGGAGCAGCGGGAACTGCGAAAACGTGCACGATCGACGCCGTGCCCCAGAGTGCACACCTGCCCAAGCACCGCCTTTCTGAAGCATTCGCCCTTGCCCTTCTTGCCCTAACACCTGCTCGGAGCTATGGCAGCAACACGATATGAATCCTGCCACAGAAACGACAGTTCAAGCACTACCGCCCAGAGACTTAACCCGGACGAAAATTCCTAAAGCCTGACTCGCGCTGCTTACTTCACGGGCCATAGCTGAGTTGGCCGAGGCACATTAGCACGAAGACCAGTCCTTGGCCATATGCGCAGCAACCGCACCATTTAAGCTCCCTTCAGTTCTCTCCCCTACCTCGGAATAACTATCAGTTGCCTGCACATTGCTTTCGCAGGTACCATGGGTCCAAGCCCAAAAAAACCCAGAGAGCCGAGCCAAGGGACCTCGCCATGACAACCTGGGCTGCAAAGCGTTCTTCGTGTCATCGAGCTGGAACGCCTTCGCTGGATTCTAATTATAGATATATAGATATAGATATATAGATATACAGATATATAGGTATATAGATGCATAGATATATAGATATATAGATATATAGATATATAGATATATAGATATAAAGATATATATATATATATATGTATATGAAACATAACTAGAGGACGGTTGTCCCGGAAGCATTTTGGAGCCACGACTAAAGCCTCGCTTATTCATGCACTGATAAACACGCACTGACTACGAAATTCATCATCATCCATGCATGCATCATCCATCACAACATCCAGTCATGCAGCAACGACAAAGGCGAAGAACCTTTTTGAAGACCACCTGCGTTGAAAACTCCGCGCCACGTCTTCGTTGATGAAACTTTCGCTGAAGGTGCGGCGGGTCCCGCCAACCCTGCCCCGTGCTTTTAAACCATGTTAATTTAAACGGGAAAACCCACGAGATCCATCATGCCATCCATCCAGGCATCCATCACGCCACCTCCGCCATGCTTTCGGGAAAATAGCATGATGTAAAAAGAAACATACTGTAACATACATATAGATACATGTACAGACACACTTTCTGGGTTCAACCACATTTTGGTGCACTTTCTTGTTCACTTTCGCGGCCACATGCGACAGTCGCAGCAATGCACCAACCTGCCTCGTTGTTGATGGGAACGACCTCTCTGACCTCAGAATAGCGATTAAAGCACGGACTCACTTCTCTCCTTTCTTTCATGCTATGAGTGGCAGTAAGAGTTCCGATACGTCCCTGCCCCAACCAATGCCAGGCCACGCCCGTTTCCGAATGCGTCCGCACCGCAATCTTTGTTTCATCCACCCGCTGCACTCCTAATTGGTGAGCACTGGTGCTAGGCAGTCGGTCATGAAAGGACTTCAATGGCACTCGATGCTGCTTGTCTCTGCCCTAAGCTTCACCGGATCAGCCTCAGACCGAATATCTGGTGTGAAGGCATAATCACCAAGCGGCTGTTCAAGTTGGAGATTAAGCTCAAGCCGAACTGTTCACCACGCCTCAGCTATGATTCAAGGACTCTCCCCCAATATCAGCGAGCCTCCTTTCAATAGCAATGTGTGGTCTCGGGCACCAGGAGGACTGTGGCTTGAGATGCTTGAGCCCTCAAGTCCCCTTGAGGTACCCAAAAGCCAAGCTGCCACATGCATAATCCCAGAATGGCACCGATCAGGTACAGCACAGTTCCTGTGCATCTGAGAATGGTCCCACTATTCTATCTCCCACTGCTCACAAGCTGAGAAGAGAATCCACCACAATTGCGCCGCCGCTACGTCGTCGCTACGTCGCTATGTCTGCGCATGGGATGCCTCCCACGCCAATCGGAGTGGTGAGGCTACCCATGGCTTCCGGGCCTTTCACAGGGTGCAGATGCGTGTTTCCCAAAAACAGTGGTGCCCTTCTTCGGGGTTCAATCAATAAGGGTTCTTTGTGTTTAGGAGTATTTGAGGGGTTTAGATGGGGTAATGCCCAGTGGATCTGGGGATCTGGGAGGCTCTACGGATCCTTGTGAGCTCAGGCAGGAGCAGGCACAAAGCCAGAAAGCGATGCCACCGAAGAAGTTCAACACAGACGTCCACCACACCTGGGTATGGAAAGAGAGGGTTTAGGGTTTAGGGCTTAGGGCTTAGGGCTTAGGGCTTAAGGTTTAGGGTTTAGGGTTTAGGGTTTAGGGTTTAGGGTTTAGGGCCCAGCGATGTCCAGAGATGTTTGTATTTGGCTTTCTTCGGAGCCTTGAAGTACTTCCTCATAGACTCATAGTGTTGATCCAGGTTTGTACCTACTGGCAATCCATGTTGCCATGCAAACCATGCGCACAAAAGCATGCTGCATGTGACCCCTTTGGTTGCACCGATGATGTCGAAAGGCCCATAGAGTCCGATCAAGAATTGACTGAGAACAGTCATCCGAAGTCAAAGACAATCGACACCAAGGCACATTCAGACCTATCAGGATGCAGCCCAGGCAGCAAAAGTGTCCGGTGCAGTCGCCCAGCAGCGGTTGTGAACCTCTACTGCTCAAGCTGCTATCGCAATCCACTCATGCAGCTATGAAACCGCAAAGCTGTGAAGGCTCATCGCCGATCATCGCCTTTTAAGGCAAGCAACAACCTCCATGATGCCGCCCGTGAAGAAGCAAAGGCCTGCAACATGGAAACACTCTGACCTTCCTGAAAGCGGCGGCTTCCGCGGCATCTCCATGCCTCCGAAGACCAGCGGCCACTCCACCATACTGACATGCCACTCCTCATTGGTACAGCGTAAGACTCAGCATCTGAAACTAGATGATGGACGAGGCCCACAACTTGGACTCTCAACAGCATGCGAGCAACAGCCATCCTGCTTCATGCAAACTGCAAACGCAGGCTTTGCGTCTTGGAACATGACTTGACGAAGCTGATGAGATTGCCAAGGCAACTTCCACTCCGAAACCGACCCTTACACGAGTGTTGGGGTTGGAAGCATCAGAGCCTCTATTAGACACAAGCGGAAGATAGTCGCCATGGTAGCACAAGTACTGGTTACGAGGACCTATGTGGACTGCTGATCACTACGCCGACGACTGCCACCGCTGCCTCCGCCCTGCGCGAACTTGCAGCACCAACGCATGCAACTAACATGCACCCTGCCTTCGGCACGTCGAAGATGTCCACAGTGTTTGCTACTTGGTATAAAACTGCGCCAGTCATGTAAATGACCCATCCTCGGCGATCCACAAATCGCCTGCTCCTTCTTGCTGCAGGTCTTCTTTAAGGTTTATCTTGACGGATCGGTCCGCTGAGGCTGCTACCAAGTATGGAGGACAGCGGCTGGTACCAGTAGACCTCACCTGAGCCGGCGTGCGTGCTGGGAGATGCTAGAATGTCCATAGTGCCCTCAACCCGACAAGGACGGCAGAAGCTGTTCTGCTCAGCAGCTGCCAGCAGAACTTTCGGCATCGTCGCCATTCTCGCCTCCACCTGCAACCGCCACAGCCGCTTAGTGCCCAGGTCTCACGTTGCGCCCGGGTGCTTCAGCTACGTTCGGCTTTCGGACTTCAGGGTGCGAAATTCAGCCTGGGGTTCAACGCTCTGCCCCCAAAAAGTTAGGCATGTGCAGGGGTGATAACGTGATGCCATGGAGCCCCCCCAGGTGCCTTCGGCACTGTCCTCTTTTGCCTCTAGCAGGACATTGTAGAGAGCTCTCCAGTCGCACCAGATCAGGTTGGCTCCTTTGTCTCACGGGGAACAGGGGGGCTGTGCGGCACGGCTGAGGCTGCAGTCGAGGCGCTTTTCTCGGCAACATCAACATCCATGTTGATCAGCTCCAAGTAGCCTGAGCCGGATTTGCTGACCACGCTTTGTGACTTTGGACAACCTCATCACGAGAAGCCTACCAGTGGAAAGCGCTTCTGCCATGCCCCGTACCCAGGCAGCCCCCGCTAGTTGACAGCAGACAGGCATGCAGCCGAACAAGCTGGCTTCCACTGATGCCTATATAGCTGAGCATCCCATGTAGATGCCGGATCCAAATGTCGAAGTCCCCACCAAGAGCGGGATCTTGCTTATCCAGAACCTCTGTTGCATGTTTAGGACTTGGTGGAAGGGCCTGCTAGGCTGTCCTGTCCCAAGTGCAAATTCAAGGTCGAGGACTTTCAGAACTTCATTATACAAAGCCATTCACATCATTCAATAAGCAGGACAGGCACCGACCGCAAGCATTTTGGAGGCTGTTGGTATGCGATGTGTGCTCATCCTGTTCACAGTGAGGGCTTCGGATTCGGCCTTTCTGTTGCTGGATCTGAAAATCTCACACTAAACTCCTCAGCACGGCAGAGATATGGCTGTGTTGTGCATCGGATAGTGCATCGGCAACACCACAACACCTCCCGGACTGGGATGTTCCAGCAAAAGGCACGTCATTCGCAATGGCGCTCCAGGCCAGAATGCGTCGAAGAGAGGTGGCCAAAGGAAGAGGAGGCAGCCTTCCACCTGAGCGAATCCGCACAGGCCGAGAGCAGCTAGCACTGAAGCTGAAACTCGAAACAACCCAACATGACGGGATGATGTTGGGCACGGAGGGTTCCCATTGGAGCCAAGAGGCAAAGAGGACCCCGATCCTTGGGCACGGCAAACCCCGGGGCTGAAGTTGTAAGTTGTCCGTCAACTGGAATAGCCGCCACGTACCACAAGTGCATCATGCAATGCCCTACCACTTTGACTTTTGCCACCGACTGAGTCGGGGGAGGCTGATGGCGCTAGTGGCAGGGTTTTGGAGCAAGATTCTCCATGGAGAACTATGGAAAACCCTGCAACGGATAGCCCCAAACGCATTTTCTTCCTACGCTCACCGAGCTTTGCTCTTAGCAAACTCGAAGCATCAGGAAAGTGTTCCTGAATGCACGTATCTTGCCCCTCAGCACATGGGGCTGAGACGTGTGCTCATGGCACTGCTCTCAAGGGACGGCTCCACGGGCACAACAGAAGCAAAGGAGCAGATACAGGCAGAATGAGATGATGCAATCGATCTAGCCTTGGACAGCCTGACTAGTAACTAGGCTCTAACATGCATGAATGCCGCCATGCAGGCGGCCTTCACTACAGCTGCATCTGCCAAGGTTCCAATATGCACACGTCCGCCTAAAGTTAAAGTTGGATACCGTCGGGTACCAGTATTCGAAGGTGCGCTGATTCCTGCACAAGCACGCGAGAGCTCAGATCTCGAACAAAGAAATAAACTTCGCAGTGCACCACTCATCTAGACTGAAGCAGAGTCTCTTGTTATTCTTCTTGTTTCTTCTTATTCTTCTTATGTTTCTTCTTCTTCTTCTTATTCTTCTTATTCTTCTTCTTCTTCTTCTGATTCTCCTTCTCCTTCTCCTTCGCCTTCTCCTTCTCCTTCTCCTTCTCCTTCTCCTTCTCCTTCTCCTTCTCCTTCTCCTTCTCCTTCTCCTTCTCCTTCTCCTTCTCCTTCTCCTTCTCCTTCTTTCTTATTCTTCTTCTTCTTCTCCTTCTCCTTCTCCTTCTCCTTCTCCTTCTCCTTCTCCTTCTCCTTCTCCTTCTCCTCCTCCTCCTCACTCTCTCTCTCTCCCCTTGCAAGACCGTGATGCACTGGATTGTAGCGCAAATGGAAATCGAGATGCACTGAGCGAGTTTGAAAGCTTGGTCACAACCAAGCCTATTCCGGAGGTGCGTGGCATGGCGATTCTCGCCCTTTGCGCCCTTGGCATCGCCCTGTCCTTCAGAAACAGTGCGTCACAATGCTTCGTGCTCACGATGCCTGAACAGCACAGCAACCCTCATGAGGGATATTGTTGCAAAAGAACTCGGATGCCTGCTCTGAGAAGTTCTGCCAAGGGTCGCCACTTAAGGTAAGAGTCTCTCCAGTTCGCGTACCTAGGGCAAGGAGGGAGGGGGAGGGGGAGGGCGAGGGGGAAGGGGAAGGGGGCAAGAGCGAGAGCAGCAGAGCGAGAGCAGCAGAGCGAGAGCAGCAGAGCGAGAGCAGCAGAGCGAGAGCAGCAGAGCGAGAGCGAGAGCGAGAACGAGAGCAGCAGAGCGACTCAGCATGGTATCCTCGCTGGATGAACTCCTCTGTGAAGTCGAAGAGGTCGCTCACCTGACACGTTGGCGAAGGCACACATGATAAAAGAAATGGCCAAGGGCAGTCGACTATGGTTGAAAGTTCTTGTCGCAGTCTACGGGAACCGAAGCTCATCAAGGGAGCACTAGTTGAGCCTGCGATGAATCTGTCGCAGAAGCAACTCACACCATCTGGGGGCAAGTGGAACAAGAGATGCATCACATAGATGAGAGAAGTTCTGGCAACGCACCCCCAAGATTAGGCGCCCTTCATCTATGCCGGATCTCCAACGCAAAGCTAGGATCCTGGGGCTCGCGCAGGTCTTTTTGAGTGTGGCAGCTCCTTCGCAGAAGCCTGACTCCGATCCTGAATTTCGACGATGAACGAGCCAAGGGCAGACATGGGCAGATTGTCCACACTCAGTTTTGCAATAGCTTTGGATGAAACGATCACACATGTCGTCGAGCGTCGGATGCCTGACGCGACAGCAGTGGCGCTTGCAGCTGCGAGAGGGTCCTTAACAGCTCTCTCTCGCGTGGCAAAGCTTGGCAGCATGTGGCGAGTGTGCCCATGCCCCCTGACGCAACGCTTCGAGATATTTGTGAGATTGGTTGAGGTGCCTCTCTAGAACTAGAATAGGGAAAGCGAACCCAAAGTACAAGAGCGGCTACTCGGCACAGCTGCAACTTCGTGGCTTCACCGGGAGTATGGTTGTCGGCGAATCATCCACCATTGCTGTTCTCACTGCTTTGGCGGACCCGTCGATGTGAGGCATTGACCTGCATCATGTTGTTAAGAAGTTGATAGGTGTGTTGGTCAAGCTCCTAAGTGCACCCTTAAAGGGCAAGCTGTGAGCCAGGATGGGACCAGATGAGAAGTCGGAAACACCAAGTCTCGACAGGACAAGTCAAGTCTTGCAGACCGCGGCCCATCAAAATGGTCCCAGGCAGCTGGGTCAGGCTCGGGTCGTGTCAGGCTCAGGCATCGAGCAGTTTAAGTGGTTCGAGGACATCCGACGGTTTCACAAGTGCCTCGGCGCATTAGCACGAGGGACTGGCAAAGAAGCGCCGGGCACTAGAGCTACTATCGCTTGCTGTCACAGTTCGGGTTATCCTCCATCTGAGCGGTTTGAGCAGTGCAGCAAGCGAAAACAGAGCAAGTCGACTTAAAACTTTGCCCGTGCTACAAGCGCGCGGAGGGCGAGGTACACTGCCAATGAACTCCCGCTAGCTGCCGGCGGAACGCGCTTTGCTACTGCAAGTTACACGAACCGCACATTGCACACTGGATGCGTGACACATTCATCGGCTACTCACAGGCGCAGGTTACCATGGATGCCACGGCTGCCCCAGCGCCCACAAGCTCTGCAAACCGCATCACCGTGGCCGGTCCTCTCTGGACAAGGGAAACATGAAACCAGCATATTAGGGTTTAGGGTTTAGGGTTTAGGGTTTAGGGTTTAGGGTTTAGGGTTTAGGGTTTAGGGTTTAGGGATGGTTTAGGGTTCCCTTTGGCCATGTCCCCCGAGGCCCACCTCGATTTTACTCACCGTCGTCAGTCTGCTGGGACTCTGGAAGGAGGCCCTTCAAGTTCCTTGCCATGCCCAGCACGGTTTAGGGTTTAGGGTTTAGGGTTTAGGGTTTAGGGTTTAGGGTTTAGGGTTTAGGGTTTAGGGTTTAGGGTTTAGGGTTTAGGGTTTAGGGTTTAGGGTCTAAGGTTTAGGAATCATGTCATGAGAAAAAGCAAAAAGCACAAGGCGGACGACCCGCCCCCCGAGCTGCTCGGGACTCAGAGGTCGCGTCAAAGCACATGCGGCCCCGCGTCGGCGGGATGTTCGGATTCGGAGGCAGGCGATTCTCTTGCCTGGCACACCCTGAACCCTCAACCCTCAACCCTAAACCCTACACCCTGAACACTGAACCCCAACCCGAAACCCCAAACCCCAAACCCCAAACATCCCCAAACCCTATTCCCTCTATGAGTCGGTGATTCCCCGATTCCCTGGTGCCGGACTTCTCCGGCCTCCATTCTTCGTCGGTGATGTATGCGTAGATCATGGCGTCAGAGACCTTAGAGGGAGATCTTTGGGGACTCAGAAACTCAAGGAGAATCAGAGGCTGTGCGTTTAGGAGAAATGCCTTTTCAGAAAGCAAGTGCTTGGTGGCAGCTTGGCTCTCTGGCCGTGTCAAAGACCGTCATGAACGCCAAGGAGATCGCAAAGCAAACGATGGCGCCCACGGCCTTTGCAGCTCTGAACCGATGAAAGTGCCGCAGAAACTCAATCCAGTCTTATGCCTCTGCTGAGCAGGGTGCTGCCACCAAGTCGGGCTGCGCCACGAAGTGCTCTGAGCTGGGGTCGTTGAATTGCTCAAGGTGTCGTACCTGGGAGAGACATGCGGCGCCCCGAAGCCCGAATACTAAGCACATCCAAAAGGCTCAAGAAGCCGGCTCAAAAAAGACCGCTTTTTCTGCAAAGTGGCGACGAGGTAGGTAAAATATCCCCCGAGTCCGGGGATCGCCACATTCCCAAGCACCTCTGAAGCATCGACATGCAGCGACGCTCCGAAACAAACATCCAAAAAAAGCCAACTGAGAGCCACTTCTGTCCTCCTGAAGAACGCTTAAACTTATTAAACAGTTACCTGGAAGAGGATGGTTGCCCCGTTCAGCAGGCCGAGCTCCAAGATGTTGGAGGCCATGAGGCGCAAGGCCCTCTCACAGGCGCGCGATCTCAGAATCCCCAGAGATCGGTGAAGGCCCTTAGAACCGTAGGAACCCCGTTAAGTCTCCTGTCTGCGGCCGCGCAGTAGCTGTCCGAGTTCACTGCGATCATTACATAAGCTCCTTGGCAAAAAGGCAAGGCTTCCTTCGAGTCGCAAACAGTTCAGCACAAGCAGAGTGGCCAGCGGTCCTTTATTGAGGTATCGTAGAATTGACTCCACGCACTACAAGCCTCAGCGGTTGAATCTGAAGCTATCCGTAGTTTCTACGCACCAAAGCCTGACAAAACTTCGCGGGAGCTTGCAGGCAAGGGTCAACAGCAGCAACAAGCAGCAGTTGTTCTCGCGACATCCTCAGCTCGGGGTTGTAAGCATGGCGCAGTGCCTCGAACGTCTTCGAACCAAGTCCAAGCAACATTCCCATCCTCGTCCTTGCTAGTTGTAGAGCGGACCTCCGGACGCCGATTCACAAGTTTCCCCACCGCAGCTATACAACAAGGATGTAGCACAACGTAGGACAATGCAGGATTAGAGCAGGCTCTCAGACACGCGCAGAGACAGTGAGATTTGCACGCAGCCAACCTTAATGGCACACTCCTATGATACAGCAGCTTAACAAGTGAATCGGTCGAACTGCCTCTAATTCACGTGCAAAGTTGAAAGCTGGGCATTGCCAGCCAAATGCACCGACAATTGGGTGCTCTCGCTCTCCAAAAGAACTCGGATTTGGTCCTCAGAGCTCGCAGAAGTCTTAGACCTCGCCACCCGCGGCTGGAGTGGAGCATGCCTGGCTTGAGAGCGCCACCTGGACGGTCCAGGGCTTCACAATGTTCACAACGAACTGGTCCTGGTCCGGGCAGTACCTGACGCTGTACTCCGCAGAGCCCAGGCCACAGTCAGCCTCGTTCTCAATCGTCACCGCGTTGTCCTGCCGTTTGGGGGGATTCATGTGCTGGGGATGTTGGGGAGGCCGATTTGCTCCTCTCCTACTTCTAGTCAGGCGCGGGGGGGGGGGGGGGGGGAGAGTGCACACACACAATGACAAGGCAAACCGCAAAATTGGGAAGCAAATGAGATGTCCTGGTTCTGGAATGCGGCACCATCGCACTGACCAGCCTGAGGTCCCTCGGCCTTCATGTCCACCACGCCAGTTGAGCCGTCGAAGCTGAGGACCTGGTACGGTTTTTGAAAGATTTCTTGCTCAACCACGGGGCTCTGAGGGCAAGCGTCCGATGCCCCTGTCGCTTGCCTTGAGTGAGAAGGTCTCCATCAACAGCTGGCCGCCATAGCAGCGGGGGCTCCCGTTCTCGATGGTGGGAAGGTTCCTGGCTGCGAGCGGCAGGACCAAGCCCAAAATAAAGAGAGCCAGGGAGCTGGCAGTACAGGGCTCTCATGCGTTTGGGCTTGCTTCAGCCAAGGTCTGACAAACGGAGAGTATAAATGCTTTCCCGAGGTCCCCTCGCCCGAGCATGCCATCAGGGTCTTGGTGCCCCGAAGGCTGTTTGTGTCGGCCGCAGCCAAGAAGGGCAAGATCATGAAGATCAGGGCACGGGCCATGGCGTCCGATGGCGTCCGATCAGCGAAAGAAAGCAAAGGCCGAAGGTTCGCGCTGAGAAGCCGAGTATGCTGTGGATGGAAGCAGCTCATGGAAGCTCTTCTGCTCGCAGCGTGTCTTCCCTGCAGCTTCTGTTGCCCCTGACCCTCCATAGCCCTCTATCGCAGCCTGTGACTCAAGCAAGGACACGAGCACGTAGGCAAAACGGAAGATTGCCAGGATAACCTGGCACAGGGATGGGGCGTTCTAGCCTTCGATCACAGGACATCCTCGCTGAGTGGCAGGCCGCTCCGAAAAGCAAACTTCCAAAGTGGTAGGACAGTCCTTGTAACCAGAGATCCGTTTGCGCGTCTACAAAGCTACCATGCCCCACGCGCCACCAGCTTGCTACAGTCAAAAAGAAGATTCCGCAACGTCTTCACCCAAGTTGAGCGAAGCGGCCCATGAGGAAGGCCCTGACCACAGGAAAGCAGGGAACCTCAACATCAGCAACCATCAGCAACCACAAGCAGACTTCCCTACAGTGCCCTACAGACGGCGAACCCAGCGACAGGGTGTCAAGGCTCGCACCCGTTTCTTTCCATCTGACACTGGCGCATTATACCAGACCACCACTGCATAGGCAGCCACCTGGCCGATTTCTGTGGGTTCTTGGCGGATTCTTCTGAGCGCGGAGATTCCATCTCTTAGTCTGAGTGCCCAGCGAAGGTTTCCAGAGCCAGGAGAAACCTGAAGCAGTCTGAAATCAAGTTGTATAAGCAAGGTGAGAGCCGCGCAGCCTCAAAGCACTGGAGAAGTCATGGGGCAGAGGCCCCGATCGTTGTCAGGCGGTTGACTCTGATAATGCGATATTGCCACTGAGCAACTCCCACATCCAGAAGACAACGAAGCAATAGTACACAATGTACATCCTTGGCACTGCTGAAAGCAACTGCCTTTAGCGTTCGCACCTAGGTGGCTTCAATCATCTCGTGACTCATGAACACTAGCTACAATGGTGCTGCAGTTCGTCCACTGGGAGTATCGGCTAATGCCATCAAGGTGCGTTTGATCTTGAGTGTGCGTAAAGGACCTTGCTATGCCCTTGGGCACATACTGACTGAGGTCCACCTGTTCCTGAGAAAACAGCACAAGGCTGCAACTTCCAACCCTCACATCTTGAAGAAGGCACGGGTGCGGCTGGCACGATGGTCTTTTCATGGTCGCCACACAGAGCTGATACGTTCGGGCGCAGCAGTCACTAGAAGAACCTGTTTGCCATGGGGCAATCTCTCCAGCGGAGACAAGCAGCGCGCCGCCCCACCTTCACATACGCACACATTGTGTGCGCAAGGTTGCAAAGAGCTTGCAAAAACCCAAACCGCTCCCCGACTCTTCGCCTCAAGAAGACTGCGAAGGCTTGCGCAAACAGGGTCCCATGAAAGCTCAAACGGCTGCGTGCTTGAAGTCAACTGAGGTTCCCCTGGATGCAGAAAAGCCACAGGAAGATGATGAAGACTAGCCCACGAATAACAGCGCCGACCGCGGGGAGCAAGATAAGCTGCGGAACCTGGTCATGTGAGAGCTGCGGACGTGGAACCCCGCGAGAGCACTGAGATCTCTATGTCTCAGAAGCAATGACACTGGTTGACAGTGTCTATGACTCCAAATTCGACACTGGGACCCCACACACGATCCCACTGACCCACTTTCTGTGCATTTTGACTTGGCGGCCGACGTCGTAAAGTATTCGAATCGTCGCCTTGACTGCAGCAATCACGAAGCTGATGGAGCTCTTCTTGCAGCCTTGCACAGGTTTCGTGCCCGACAAGTGCCACGCTTGGATGGTCATGGTCAGCCCGTGTCCGAGTGCTGTCAAGATGCACCAGAAGCAGGTGGCCCTTGGCTTTAAGCTGAGGTGCACAATGCTCAGCAGCGGAGACGGGGACTTGTATTGCAGCCCAGAATCCCGAGAACTCGCGTTGAGATGAGGTATGAGAGTGGTATAGCATGGATGGAATGGATCTGCTTCAGCTAACTCTCTTCAGCCTTGCTTGCTCATGCGCCCCTCATGCTGCCGAGATTCGCAATGCCGAGTACCAGGCACACGATGGCAATGACCAGGTCCCAGTTTCGATCATCTCAGTGGTGCGAAAAGCCGAACCCCGTGCCTACACTATGCCTACACATGCCCATGCCACAGGGCTAGCACCCAACATGCCACGTGAAGATACCGCAGACAAGTCGCTGGTACTCTCTACCAGAGGCAAGGCCTCCAAGCAGCAGTTGCGACACAAGACTCCAAGATTATGCCTAAGACCTAAGACTGATTTTGACTATATGAACAGCCACACCGGCCCAACCTCGACTTCCACGGCGAGGGCCGCGCCTGCAACGAAGTCGGGCTTTCAAAACCCGAAAAAAAGGCACCAAATGCGCTCAAATCTCCGGCACATGCGCCGGGCAAATGCTGCAAGAACCTAAAGTGCACTCAAAGCGAACTCATTAGCTGCTCATTACCTTGCCTTCTCGCTCCTCTCTGCACTGCTCGCCCCTTCTGCAAGGCATTGCTCTATCTTACGGATAATGTATACAGCACGAAGAATGTAACATACGTACTGTAACAAGAATATGCATATATATATATATGTACACATATATATATATAGCTCACGCCCCCCCCCCCCCCCCCATGATCCACGTTTCTGTTTGGAAACAGATGGATCTTGGGAGGAGAGGGGGCTATGAGCTAGCGATAAAAATGCCGACAGGGCCGATAAAAACCTATATCATTTCAAGTCAGGAAGATCATTTACATCAACAAGCTGGAAAAATACCCGAAAAATCATTTTTCTTTCGAAAACTCGAGCCGGCTTGAATTTTCTAAAAAAACTGACACAGTAGGTCGCCGAAACACGAGCAGGCTCGAATTTTCTTTAAAAAAATAACTAAATTTCAGGATCCATGGCTCCAGCAGCCCGGTAGAGAGTGTTCCCTCAATCTCTTGAAGTTCTGACGGCGATAATTAGTATAATCAGTAGCATTAGTTGCTAGTCCTAATTCAACTGTTAAGTTTCCCATATAAGTTTCCCATATATTTTGACAACACATCTTGAAATTGCGAGAAGAGGCCACGCAATGGCTTTCATCCAACAATCGTTTTATTCTTCAACCCTTGACTTTTAATATAAGAACCACCTTTGTGTAAGTTAAAGCATAAATTATCATTGAGGATATCTTCGGGACTAAAAGTGTCCATTATACATTTTGAAATTATATCTTAATCAAATACATGAAAACTATGTGAATGTTCCTTACTATTGTTCTTCTTCTTGCCTTTCACCTCCTTAACTGCTTCTTCTACTTCATTACTATCAACTAACTTTCTTATCTCTTCGTAAGCATTTTGTTTGACTTTCTTCTCATTCTTCGGTTTCTCTAGGTGTTCGTATGTTGTTGCTTTCTTATGAAGCATTATTAATCTAATTTAGATCATTGAATCAAACTGTTGTAAAATCTCTTCTTCGGTTATAGGTAGATGTACTGCTTTGTTTTTAGCAGCGCCTCCATCTTCATAAGAATGATTTTGTAGATGGTCTAATGTTGATTCATTTGATGTTATACTTCCTTTATCAAACATTCTAACGGGGTCTCCTGCTTTTCGTATTCTTAAATTTGTCGCAGCGTCTTCTGGTCGTTGTCCTGATGCAAAAGAAGAACCATAACTACGACTTCTGAATACATTACCATAATCATTGTTTGATTGTTGTCCCGATGCTGAACCTAAACTATGACTCATAATATCAGAAATTCCAGTGTTTGTTTACCATCTATTTCAATAAAACCGTCTTGCATGAACTTATCTACATCTTCATAACGCTGAGTCTGTTCATCATAAACATCTCTACCGCTTTTAGTCCCAGCAATGTATAAAACAGAAGCATTTTGATGAATCCCGTCAGGATTCTCTTGCGCTATTTTATGTCGTTGCGTGTCCGTTAAGAATGTCTCTGTCCCCGCTAGTTCGTCTCTAACTTCAATATGTAGTCTGCTTCTTGTGCTAGGTGCTGTATATAAAACCCCTTCACTTCTTCTTTTATGGTTATGCACTATAAAACGGTTTTTAAACTATTTTCTCTGATTAAATAATGTTGAAGTTCAAGAAGGTTTGTATTGATAGTTCTTATAGAGTGAATGAGTGAATGACAGAGATGTGCAAACCGCACAAAACCAAGTGGAAAAGGATTATGTTCGCAGATTTCTGTTGTTTACAAGTATAGACAATGAATAGCAAGTTGTAGCTTCAGTCATGGCAAGACACGAAAGTATCGTAAATGCTGGTGTTTTTTCACTTCAACGATATGTGTAAGCAAGCACAAGTGCAGAAGGGCAAGCAAGAAAAGGACACATATGGATCATGGGGGGAGGGGGGGGGGGGTGACCATATATGTATATATATATATATCTATATATATATACATATATACATAGACATTATGTGCAATATGTAACATACTTTAACATCTAGCAGTCTAGTTTTCAAAAATATAAGATCACATATAGGATAACATGACAGAGCCCTTTCGCCGGCCTAGGTCGACGCGCAAGGCTGCATAGAAGAAATAAAGCGATGTGGCGTAGGAGCCGCCGGTGGCAAGGAAGAGCATGATGTAGATGATCTCCGAGACAAACAGACACAGAGGGAGACTTTTGCACCGGTAGTGTCTTCTTCGTCTTTTGTTTTGAAAGAGAACGAGTGCTTTGCTTCACTATTCTACTCATGATATACATGATTATGGTGAAATCAACCTCATTACTATGACAACTGAGTTGCTATTCGTTTAGAGCTCGTGCTATTCTTCTGAGGCGTCGGCCGGCGCTGCGAGGAGGTCGATGGCAAAAAGGTACACGTAGCACATGAGGATCTCGCGGCGCGAAATGCGGAACGCTTTGGCTCAGGTCCGCCCTATCCCTGAACTATGGCTGAACTCCAGTTGTCAGAGGACCACCAGTGAGGTGTAAGCAACTCCTGGGACGGTGCTTTTCGGTTTGGTTCCGATTCTGCAGCTGAGGAACGGCCATGCCTCCTGCAAAAGAAGGCGCCAAGAGGACACAGGTCCCCCGACAGACTACACCAGCTACTGTCACAGGGCCAAGAGCCGACAACTGTGCCTCTAAGTCTGAAGAGTCACGAGAAAAGGGGGAACTGGAAAAGTGACCCGAAGAGTGCCATCCTGAGAAGTACAAGGCTCCTGCCAGAATGTAGACGCGGCGCGCATCCACAATTTCTTGCGCCTTGTACATCACCTGTGCAAAGCGGTCTGCTCTGAGTCAGAAAAGCCTCGAGCCCTTGCTGCGAAGATCCAAACCTCAGATGCCAAATATGCCAAGAGTCTGCATTCATCGAGCCACTCAGCGTCTGATTGAGCTGCCTGCAGCTGGGCTCTCTTGGAGCCAATCGCAGCTGAGGTGTAGGAAGCGCAAGCTGAGCAAGTGATGTGTCAGACGTCGTGTTACTTGCTTCTGCCAGACTCAGAGCTCACCATGGTGGTGGCCGCCGTATTGTAGCAACCACATCTCAAAACTTCCAACGGCTTGGTGGCTTGGCAAGGCACTCCACCAGGAAGTTGTCCTTCAGCAGACACTTTCTGCCCCACCAAAACATGCTGACATCACAGCAAGGGCAGTGCATGTCGACGGCCTGTCGCGGTTGTTCGTTCTCTGTAAGCGCAGGAAGGTGCTCGGCACATAACGAAACTTTCCCCTCCCACTTTTCCCGCTCTTTCCTGTTGTCTCAGCACTCCTTCCCTTTCGTTTCCTTTCATTTCCTTTCGTGTTCTGTTCTTGCTGTTGCTCCTGTCTTCCTCGGCTGAGAACTAACTTCGTGTCCCAGTCCTCTTTCTTGGTTTGACTAAGTATCAACCTCTTTCCCCGGGCTCGAGTCCAACTGCTCTCTCTTTCCTTCTGAGTGCTTTTGGGGGTCCTACTGCACCATTCCAACACCCATGCATCCAAGCTCTAAACACTCTAGGCCACTCCAGGGACTCCGTGCTCCCATCAGTCGTGACTCAGAGGTATGAACAGCCCGCCCCCATCGGTCCGGGCTGGGTCCAGGATACATCAAACACCTCCCGCACGCTTTTCGCGTGAGGTCCGATGTGCCCTATGGTTTCCCGGCCACTTTGATGCGGAGCGCGCGTCGGCTAGTCGCGGATGGCTTTGGAAGGACCTCGGACCTCCGGCCAAGCACGACCGCCCCTGCGCGCCCGACTTTTTGCGGTTGGTCCCATCGAAAAGGGGCGGACTACCCAAAACTCCAGTACAGCTGGATGAAACTCGTGCTCACGGACTCTCATCAACAACAAGAATGTGGCTGCCGTTTGCTTCAGACAGTCTCTTTTGTTTGGTAGGTCTCCTTCGGCAAGCAGAAGCGCTGCGCAAAAAGCATCGTCTCGATGTCTTGGACCTCAGATGTCATGCCAGGGGTCAACCGGTCAACCTATCCGGCACCCGACTCGAGGACTGCTTCCATTGACTGCAAGAGAGTTGCCAGATGCGAGATGTAGGTGTTGTTCACCCAAAAGCTGCCTCAGAAAAGAGATATCATCTGCTCCCCTTCGAGCCCCAGGGAATCACCACAGTAAATGCTGTGGCCCGTTGTTTGATCCAAAGTGGCCATCGAAGTTCCTCGGAACCTGCCGCTGCGTTTCAATGTCCCTCGGTTCCAGCAAAAAAGTTGAATCGAACATCATCGGAGCCACAGAGTTCGCCACTCAAGAGCTCGAGCCAAGGAACGAAAGGCAGGGATGGAAAGTGCTGCGATCCTGTGGACATGATGCCAGGCAGATCCTTGGCCAAACAAGGGAGGGAGGGGTCGCTACTGGAAGATCCAAGGGGCTCTTTCTTTCTTTGGGGCCAGAGGGCAAGCCCTCGCGCCCAGGCGCGCCCCGCTGCCGCTCCCTGCAGACTTTTCACCCACTCCTGGGCCGGTATTCGGCTCCGCACCACCGGTTCCTGCTGTCGAGCCAACTTTACTTTCCCTAGACTGTGACCCCTTACTCCCCCAACCAAATCCTTCAAAACCTGACCTTACCTCAACCAGCGCCTGCCCCCCCCCCCCCCCCCACCCCCTCAGACCCCTAACCTTGAAAGTCAACCTCCCCCCCCCATCTCCAAGGGGCTCTCTTCCTTCCTTCCGTCGCACTTAGCCCCCCCTCCAAGGGGCTCGCTCTCTCTCTCTCTCTCTCTCTCTCTCTCTCAGGAGTCAGCTTCTTCACAACGCTTCAACACTTTGCACTGCATATTCTCAAAGGAGCGGGTGCAGCAGGTCCATGGTCTGGCTCGGGCTCAGAATGGCGTTGGCCAAGGGCACCATGTGACCAGCCCTTGACGCAGAGACTGCAAGGACCTCTCCACTCGATACCACTAGTTACCACTACAGTAGCTAGCGCGATAGTTCTCAAAAAGGCTCTTTACGATAACAGGGAAGAGAACCTCAAGGAACCAGGCACCTCCTCTTTCTCAATCTTTCAAGCCGGGGGGCGCATCCGAAAACTCTCCAGGCAGGTTGAACGCAATCATCTCGGCCTGGTCACAGGTCGCACTTGTGAAGCTTGTGAGGCACGCTGCATCGGTCCTAGCAAGCCCCTCCCACCTGGCTCAGTGCGGAGTCACCGGGCTTGGTGCACCAGTACAGAAACGGTTTGGCCTGCGGAGATCGAACACTTGCGTGCCACGGCTTCTCCGACTGATCTTTGCAGAGAGTATGCTGGGATGCGTGCAGCGACTTCAGGATCTACGCCACACAGCTGGTTCTCCCAGTTAAGACCTGACAAGGACATTGCCACCAGCTTCTGGGAAGCTCAGAAACTACACCTGAGCACCCTTCCCACATACCTTAGCCGCAGGCCATGGTAGAGGCGCCTTGTGTCGCCGTTCGCCCAGGCGTAAACTCAGCTCCGCACCCGAGTTTTCTCTCAACAGCTCTCATCTCAGAACCTCTGCACCCCGTGCGATCCCTGGGTCCCACACTCATGACCTCGTAGAGACCATAGAGACTCGCCAGGAAAAGGCCGACACAGAGCACCTCAGCTCTCCCATGTTGCATGTGGGACATGGTGAGACATCACTTCGAACAAGAAGTGCGGCAGGTTTTGGCGACTCATTCATCATCTTTTGTCCCATGGCCTGCTCGATGATTGGCTGGCTTGTCTCTTTGAGCTGCACTCAATTTGCAGGAGCTTGAAGACCAGAGCCGACACCAGATGGGCTGCTCGGGCATCCCCCAGTGCTAGGTAGCTTGGCAGGCTTCGCGGGGCTTTGCGTGTCTTTGCGAGATGAACACCTGTGGGACGCCTCCGCTCTCGCTAAGATGTCCGAAAAGCGGCCGCCAGACTGAAAAAGCCAAGGCCATTCACAAGACTCAGAACAACTCAAAAGAAACTTCAACAGCTACAACCTCACACAGAGTCCAGGACCGTATGAACACACGAACGTGTAGCATCGTATCACGGCACGAATAAATACACAAACACCGGAGTCGCGAATTGCTTTCGAAGGCACATCAGTACACGTCCGCGGCCGAATGTGTGCATCCTTCTCCGCCTCTCCGAAAATCTGAGACGCTTTCCGGGACACGACAACATAAGCACCGATTGCTCCCCTTGGTCTTAGATATTTCTGCACCTGCCTCTCAACTCTCTCAGTACAACTTGCAACAAGAGACTCGCAACTACGTCAAACCATGCGGCCTGTGTTGCATCTTCGTCAACTGGCGGGGGGGACGGTTCGGGCTCCTCTCCTTCTGCACGGGCCTCGGAAGAGCACTGCTTAACCTTCTGCATCGATCAGTGCAACATCAACTGCTGATCAACAAGCAAACTGTGAAAATCAGATGTCTCCCCCCACGTTTGTCCATGTTTGTCCACTAAGGGCCGGGCCAAGCTTCTCGAGCTCCCCTCCGGCACAGGAAAAGTTGAAGGGCTCGCATGGCACCCACGGAAATGAAAGGGCAGGGAAAGGGCAGCGTGGGGTTGCTGTGCGCTGTGCCTGGCCTTAAGGGGCTTCCGCTCGTCCCCCATGCCGAAGTCGGCGAACCTGTCTGTAGCAAAGCAGACGCGCCTTGTACTTGAACCAGGCTGACATAGAAGAGTACATGAATTACATGCACCGACACGCCAAGAAACGCAGGCCTAAACAAATTCGCCAGCCATTCGCAAGTCTCGAGCCGCCCGGCAGCAGGAACCCGAAAGCTTGCAAGTCCCTTGTGCCGGAACATGACTATGATCTCGCAACGCGCAAAGAGGAAAACGGGAAAACGATGACCAGCAGCCAATGCGCTCAACCCTTTTTGCCGGTCTGTCGGTTCAGAGGGGGCTCTTTGGCTCTGTGCTCCACGGATTTGGCCTCAGAGGCAAGAGCACCCGACATGCGAACTGACCCAGCACTCCTATCTGAGACCGCTCCTCTTCAATCTTACAAGTTCTTCTGGCGGCCAGGGCTCTCAGCCAACTCCAGGGATTGCACACCGTTCCTCCGGAAACTGCTTCGAAAAATGTCGGACTATTGGACTTGCTCGGAAGCACCTGCTGTATGTGAAGCCAAACAGCGCATAATGCAGACGGAGTGCATTTGGAGAACTTTGCCTGCTTTGAGGCCATGAGCCTGCAACACGTCTTGCTTCCCAAAGCAAACATACCCAAACGAATATGCAATATCAATATCCTGAAGTAGATCAGAAGATCAGAAGAAGCCTCGATTGAAATCGTACGTGCTGCACAGAAAACTAGACCAGACTTCGGGCATGAACCGCTGGACGACAAAGACCTTCTTGCAGCTACCCTCCGAACCATCTCTCAAGCGCAGATACCTGACACTACCTGAGATAACTGGCCTCCATCTCTGCCTGGATACCCGACAAGCCACCAGCAAAGCTCGGTGCCGGAATGGCAAATATGCTACCTCAGCCCCGGCATGCAGATCATGGGCATCAAATGCAGGTTTAAATAAGGGAGGTTCAAAAGGGACCCCCAAATAGCAGGATTCCCTTATAATAAAGACCCCAATAAGGTACCTCTAATTTGGGAAACCCCCAAATGGTTCTGGTGAGATGTCCATTGTTCCATGAGTTGTCTGTTGGATCTGCGCTGCTCACTTCCCACCACGGATTGGCTTTCACTTTGATGAGGGTGCTCACCTCTGGACTATGATGCCTTCTGCTTTCTCTGCTCTAGTCGGCCAGGTTCTTGCACAGCATTGAATGCCTTGCCGCATCTTCAATTGAAAGGCCGTCACAGCTTCTTGACCACTGTCTCTTGTCTATTGTAGGCAGCATGGCGTCTTGTCATTTGGGAGCCTGGGTGGTCGGATGGTCAAGTTCGGCTACTTGTAGGGGCTCAGCCAGGCCTTTGGGTTCATCCTTGAACGATGCGTCTCATGAGGGCACACCTCTAGAGGAAATCTGCCTTGTTGCCGTATAGCGGCTCTTGGTCATTCATCAGCGTCGCCCTCACATTTTGTCCTATGCCCTATGCCGTGCCAACATGTTGCCATGCCAGTTCTTTTCAGGCGCGCGATGGGCACGTGTAAGGTAGGTTACCACTCGCCACGTGATGCTAAGAACCAAAAGAGGTGTGGGACAAAGGGTCTCCTACGGTAACGACCTGAAGTTCTCGCTGTCCTAGACTCCCCCCCGGCTCTCAGATGCTCTGAGGACCCTGCCGTCGGAACTGCGATAAACACGATAAGCTGCAGCCTCGAACAAAACTGACACCCGCCCAAGAATGTGCCGACTATGTTCGAGGAATTCCTGGATGGTCTCAGCCCCGGGCCCTCCGCAACAGTACCCATCCCGAGGCCTTGAGGAAACAAGCGCTTGCAAGCACATACCAGCAACTTAACGGCAGCTCATGTCGTTCGGAAGCTTGAAACATTGTCGCGAGTTGGCAAGACCAATGTAATGCCATGCGCGGCAAGACATGTCTCTGCACTCAAACCATGCTCCAATTTTTACCTCACGCATCCTTGAACTCCCTTCCCCCTTGGCTGGCCTCCGCAATCGCTGGCTCGCGGGCCTTGGGAGTTTGGTGTGTATTGCTTGGGTGTTTGGGATTATTGCTTGGGTTTGGGTGAATAGATTTGTTTGGGGATGGTGTCAAGGGATTTGCTGAGGGTTGTTTCACGTGGCTTTGTCAAGTGGAGTTTGGGAGCCATGGTGAAACGTGAAGGAGGGTCAGGATGCGAGGTCTGGGGTTGAAGGGTCTGTTGTACGCATTTTAGCACGACCACTCCTCCCCAGCCGACGAGTTCCCACCCGACAGGTCATCCAGCCCACTCTGGAGAATCAGACACAGCTTCCTCAGAACAGCAACATGATTCCTGATATTCCTGCCTCCGGAGGCTTCAAGGCACTTGGAAGCAGTTGACCGAGGAGATCCTCTGCAACTGCGCGCATGTTCAAGGGCATCTTGCACCTCCAACCGCATCGCCCAAGCGAAGTTACAAGGTGTAAACGGCGGAGCTCCTTGAGACCGCTCAGGGGTGGCTCCGGCACCTGAAGGCTGAGGCGGCTGAGGTTTTGGAGAGATCTTTGAGCGGATGGGGCTGAACCCGTCCCCCCTTGGGCCGCTGCGTACTCGCCACCTACTCGGAGCGCTTTGAAACTTTGGAAGGGCGAGCGCGAGGCGCCGCGAAGCGCCGCGAAGCGGAAGCATCGCGAAGCCCACGGCAACAAGCGCACTGCAAAGACACCGCCTTTCTGCAGGCTGAGTGTGTCCCAGTAGTCTCGCTGACGAAGGACCTACCGATGGAAATGAAGAGAGAGAGAAAGAGAGAGAGAGGGGGGGGGGGAGAGAGAGAGAGAGAGAGAGAGAGGAGTCAGAGAGAGGTGCAACCGAGTCCAACCCGCTCCAACAACTCGCCGAACTCTTCTTTTGCGGCTGTGCAAGTGGCCTTGGCGCTACGCTCGTCGATCTCGTACTCGGACACCTTTCACGCTATGAAGGATCAGAGTTAGCATAATGATTGCAGTGAGCACAGATCTGAACTGAGAGAGACAAGGGCCTGGCTCCGCTGAACAGAGCCCGAGGCTTCCAGGGCAGCAGCTTAAAGACAAAGCCTTGTCGCAGGCCGCAACTGAGACGACCTCCATTGCTCCGACGCCAATCGTCGATCTCTCCGAGGCTCCATCCCAAAGTCCAGCGTGTGCGGAGACGCGTAGGCTGCTGCCCAGGAACCTCCCCCGTAGCTTTGTAGCTTTGAGCTGCTTTTTGGATGGCTTTGGCGCATGGCAGCACCTCCTCCACACTGTGTAGGTCGATGAAACCATCCGAGAAGAGCAGGTTCCTGGAAGCTCTGATGGTAGACTCTGCATGTTGTGCGCTTCGATGCAAAGATGCTGTAGTAGGCTTATTCTTGAATCTGAACCAGCAGCCTGCTATGTCTGAGGAGGTGGCCCTACGAAGCTGTCTCCAGACAACATCTCAACGTTTGCCTTGTAGCTTGCCTTGCAAAAGAGTTCAACATTTGCCTGCTCTGCACGCAAACTCGGCAAAATTTGGGCAAGCTTGCCTTGCCAGAGAGGTCGTTCAAAGGGTCCTTGAAGGAGACGTCCTGGACGGGTGGAGGTGGATGCTCTCTTGACACTTCGTTTTGCCGACTGGCTCGCAGCCGGTAGCAGCACAGACAAAGACAAAAACAGAAAAAGAAACGACCCGTGGCAGACAGTGAGCGCGCACGGTCCTCTTCGTAAAACTCGGCCTGCAACTTGCTGCCATGGAAAGGTGCACACAGCCAGCGATCTTATGCGATCGCGATTTGCTCCCCTCACGATGTGCATGGGAGTGCACATCAGACCGTCGACCCAGTTGGGCCGGGACTTAAGAAGATGTAAGCAGTACAAAGTAGGGACAGGAGTTGAACCGATAGGTGATTCATTTCAGTTCCAAGCTTCCGAACCTTCGATTTCGGCCTACATCTCCAATCCAAACTAGCACTGGGAAAAGAAAAGATGTCGTGTTGTTGGACCTTGTTCAAGCTTCACACCGCAAAGAATACGGTCGGGTTCATCAGGCAACATACATAACATTTCTACTACGACTACGACGTACGACGAAGAGGCGATTGTACATCCTCTCGTCTGCCCTTAACAGCCACTCTCTGGGCCGCAGCTCGGCCTTGCGAAAACAAAACCAGAGCACCGCCGCTGCCACGCCATCGGACGGGGAGGGGGGGGGGGTTGATGGGGGGCAATGGGCGGGCTGCGACCTTTCAATGCCTCCGCATTCTGCCCTGTCGTTTGTTGCTGGGGCTTTTGCTTCTCTCGTCGGTCAAGTTGGGGAAGTATTTTGCTGTTGTGCTTAGCTTTCCTCCCTTCTTCGTGGGCAGGCTCAGCGCTGTCAGACGAAAGCACAGCGACGGAAAACCTTGCAGCTCCGTTTAAGCTGCAGTTGAGCTGCTTCCAGGCCTCAAAGGGTCGGAAAAAGCTTCGATACTCACGGGCCTCAGTCCACATCGTCAAGACAAGGGCGATGAGCTGCAGCCGGAACAGTTGTCAGCTGCAGCCGAAGCACGAGGCACTCCTTCAGCGCCTCCACCAAACACATCCAAAGAGAAAAAACTGAGCAAAGGCAAAGGCCTCCCTCGTTGCTCCATTGGCCGCTTCTCAGGTACCCCCTCCCCCCCTCACCTCACGCTTCTGCTGGAAGTCGCATCGACGGGCCACCCCTGCAACCAATGCTCGAAGAACTGTTGCGAGCTGTTGTGAGCAGTTGCAAGCCGAGTCGAGCCCGAGATAACCCGAGATGGTGCCTGGTTGGCGGCTATGGCGGCTACTGACACCTCGCACCACGAAGGCCGAAGTGCCTTGGCCAGCCTCGGTGCCAGGAAGGCATGGAATGAGCCCAATGAGCCCATTGATATGGCGCCACAAGCAAGAAAAGCAACAGCGCAACAGCTACTGATGAGCGATCCTCGGCGCTGGCACACGACCAGCGAGGGCGGCCCATGGGCCTGCACAGCACGGCCCTACTCAGGCCCTGCTCGTCGATCTGAGCGCATGGTACCGCAACTTGGCGCGACAACACTGCCTCTCGAGGACCAGAACCATCGCCAAGATCAGCAGAACCCTGCGCAACCGACGCCAGATTGAAAGGCACCAGTTGGAATCGGCAAACTCAAGACTTGTGGATCTTCACCCTCTGCCAGATGGGGAGTACTTCCAGCAATCGATTTACGAAAACCCGCTTCTGAGAGGGGAATCCAACACGCCTTTCAACATTCCTCGCTTTGCAGCGGCCCATTGCGTTCGACTGGAAGCACACTATCACTATCTTCGCTCACCACTTTCGGACTGCGATCCACGTCAAAAAAAGGGTATGTTGTTGGCGTCTGGCTTTGAGCGTTGCAGCGTCTGACATGGCCTCTTGCTGCGAACCAACGAGCAAAGTTTGCTTGAGCATCGTTCAAGCATGCCCTGCAAAGAAGTTGCACTTTGATGCCGGCACCTGCATACACGTGGGGGCTCGTTGGTGCTGCCGTCAGATGCTGGGTTTGCTTAGTGCGGAGGCCCTGCCTTGGGTCCTTGCCACACAAAGAGAAGTGTAGAAGCAGAAATCCAAAACAGCCCGTCTTCTCAGTATCCATCCAAGAATGTTCCAGGCCCGCATATCTTCCCGGTAGCTCATTGGAGAACTATTCGACACCACGAAACAAGCTTTTGAAACAACAGTGGCAACAGCTGCGCGGGGGGGACCCGCAGCAAGTGGTGCCATCAAGGTCGTCATCAAGACCGGCGTTTGCCACCAAGCGATACGGAAAGATCAGTGATGACAGTGAAACAAGCCAATGATTCCTAACATACCTGTAGGCTTCATGTTGCTACGAGTGTGAAACACCAAGCCTCACTGCAACCAACAAAGCCGAAATGGCTCTAGCAAGCCGTTAATAAATGTGCTTTTCATACAGGGTGTCGGACAATCGCCTGAAGGTCTTCTTTCTTGCCAGCAGTCGGGACCTTAGAGCACGACACAGGCGAAGCCCTTCTCACAGCAGTGTGTGCCATGTAATTAATCAGTTATACTCTGCGAATCATGTGATCCAGTGGGGCATAACGAGACCTACTTTGTTCGGAACTCAAATGCTCGCAGTCTGCAGTACGGCAGCGCCCCTCTTTTGAGCCTCTTCTGAGCTCAGTCCCACGTCCCCGATGAGTGCCAACCAGATTGTGGCCACTCTGCATCATAAGCACTCGGCAGCTACATGCGTCATGTGAAGGCGTGCCCAGGCTTGGACAGCTTGGACAAATCAGTTCAAGGACGTCCCAATGCAGTGAACGTCTTTCAAGTACATCTCGATTGGCTTGACGTATGCCCCCTTATCCTCAGTTGCAGACTTGGAAAGGCTCGGGTCTACGACCGCAAGGAAAGAGCGACGAATCCGCTTCAGCTCAGTTGGCCTCAAGGATCCTCTAAACACTGACACTGCAGACCCTCGCTCCAAACAACCCCGCCCGAAAAGCAGTTCAGTGTGCGGATACATCTCTGCTACCGAGCATCAGAGTTGCCCCAGGTGACCACACTACCGTCCGCTCGGATGGCTAGGAAGGCACCCGATGAAGCCTCAATCTGCTGCACGTCTCGCAGCTTGTCCTTGGACGTTGGAAACTGCCTCTGCTGCACATTCCATGATCTCAGAACACACGGACGGTCCTGAAGCGCTGTGCTATCACCACCTTCCACTCCGTTGCCCCATGTCACCTCAGAATTCACGCTTCGAGTCCAGCGGGCGCGGCAGGCTAGCTGCAAGCGAAACATTCAAGACGATGTTCATGTCACATGACTCGAATGACGTGAGTAGACATTGCGTTGCTACACTCTTCGATTAGATCTCGAGGCGGCCACCACACGCCCATCCGTTCGCAGGCCTGCAAACGCAAACTCGGTGGCCTTGACGAGGTTGATTTGCTGCTGGCTTTGTTGCTGGAGAACCGTGGCCATTTGTTGGTTTGCGGAGCCATAGGACCTCAGACCAACATAATTATGCTGAACCCCTCGACCACTGCGCTAAGCGGAACGCCCAAAGGCACAAAAGACGCAAGAAACTGCTGGGCCGGGCACTCAGAACCCCAGGTGACCACCGTACCGTCTGCTCTCAGGGCTGCGAAGGCTCCGCGTGAGGCGGTGATGCTGTGAACTCGGACCAGCTGGTCCTTAACTTTGGAGCAGTCCGCCCCAAAATCCTTGTCGCCCCAAGCGACCACACGCCCATCACTTCGTATCGCAGCGAAGGCTGCGCTCGACGCTTCGATTGAAACCACGTCTGTGAGTTGAGCCTGTATGTCAGTTCCCGGCTTGCCCCCGCAATCTTCCTTGCCCCAGGTGACCACGATGCCGTCACCCCGGATGGCAGCAAAAGCAAAGTCATTGCCGGTGATCACGCGGACATCCTGCAGCTCCTTCCGTACCTCCTGGCAGTCGCCGCCGTAGCGCCTGTCACCCCAGGTCTCTACAAATCCATCTTGGCAAATCGCCGCCAAGGCAAAGGCTGTCGCCGAAATCGAGCTTACGTTCAGCAATCTTTGGGACACGGCGTTGCTGTCAGCGCCGGCACCTGAATCGCCCCAGGTGACGACGCGCCCATCGTGGCGCAGCGCTGCGAAGGCGCTCTGTGACGCCTGAAGGCTTACGACATCTTGCAGGTGCGAGCTCATTCCACCTCGACCTCCTCGAAGAGGATCACCCCAAGTTACAACCTGTCCATCCTTGCGTAGAGCTGCAAAAGCTCGCGAGGTAGCCTTGACGGTCTGCACCTTCGTGAGATTCTGATACACGGAGCTGCTGTCACCACCTGACTGTGCATCTCCCCAGGTCACCACTGTGCCATCGCCGCGGACGAGTGCAAAGGCCGCATTTCGCCGGCTGCAGCCCACGGGCACCTGCCTCACCGTGGCGCTCAGCGTCACGCCGTCCCGTACGCCGGCTTCCGAAAGTGTCGCCTCCTGCAAACAAAAACACAGAAGGTTTTCTCTGATGTCAAAGCTTCCTTCAACAAAGCTCTCCAAGATGTTCTCGCGAGCCCATGTTCTCATGATGGAAACCCCTCACCAACAAAGAAAAAAGACCTTTCTTAAGAAAAGAGGTCTCTTCTCTTCTGCTGGGCTTGAGGGGGACCCGGGGGCCTCCCCCGCGCGCACGCGCGCCCGAGTTCGTTGTCCAGTGTGACACTTCAGGGTTCCCTGTTGGTCCCCATACTTTGGGTTGTGATACTTTGATGGTTGGCTGCTTTCCCCGTGAAGTACAGGCCCCAAACCCACCTAAGAAAAGAGGTCCCTCCCTCTCTCTCTCTCTCTCTCTCTCTCTCTCTCTCTCTCTCTGTCAGATGTTGAGCCCAGGAGTCCTCATCAAGCGGGGTCGCATTGGGAGCACCTTGGGGATTCTGTAACACCAAGCCGCCCAATGGGATCTTCAACTCCTTCGCAGCCTTCGTTCGAAGATCTTGAACCTAAGAGGCTCGGTTCGTGTCTTCTATGCAACCTGCCATGAACCACCAATACTACCAGAATTCACACGGTCTGCTGTGCTAGGCCAGGGCGCCGAGGTCTCTGGAGTGGCTTGCAACTTTGCGCTGCGGCCGCTCATCAACGATACGGTCACTGAAATCGGCACTGGCGCCGCCATTGCAGCCCAGACAGAGTCAGGCTACTAGCGACCAAACAACACAAATGAAGAGCACCAAGTGCAACTAGAATTGTGAACAATTCTTTTTCAGAAAAGAATACTTTCTTCGGCGATTATAGGCGATCCTGCGCGATGTACATGTAGTGACGTGCAGTGCTTCATGGGAGGTTTGCTCAGATGGGTCAGGGCTTTTGCGCTTGGGAACGTCGGAGTCGCATGCGGCCTGAACTTTCATGACGCCCACAGAGGGGCATGCGCTCTGCACGTCATGTCGACTGGGGGTTCGCACATACCATTGAACAGCTTGGAGAGCAAGCTTCCGACAACTTGTTGATGCTGCACCTGGCCCAAAACTCTATACTAAGCATGCTTGAAGGATTGATGGTGAACATGTCTTTGCCGGCCCTCATATGCCCTTCCCCGGCCTGTCAACTACGCCAGGCAGCCAGGATCTGGATGACCGAAGAAAGCAGAGCCGGAGGTTTTGGGTGCGTGCTGCAACTCATCCGACTTCATGCAAATCCTTCCGGCTACTTTCCGCGGCCGCAGCACAGCGTCTGCTGCAGAGAGTTGCAGACAGCAAGCCACCAGTCGCCTATGGGCGTGGAACCTGGAGAAGGCTGTCGCGTGGGCTTTGCTGGGCCTGAGACTTCGGCTGCCCTAGGCACTGGTTTTGTTGCAAGCCACGCAGCCACGGAGGGAAGCTGGGCGAATGCACAGACTGGGGGCCCGGGCTCGTCAAGTTGAGGCTGGTCTGGGGTCACCGAGTGTGGCTGGGCAACTGGAGCCTGGGCTGGGGGCACCAAGCGTTGTGTCATACAGGCGTTGCCGCCAGCCATGTGCCCACGGAGGGCAAATGGGCAAACAAAGGATTTGTTGCGGCCGCCCTGGGGTTTGGAAATCATTCGTCAATTGCTGCCGATGCGCTCACAGGCGGCGTTGCTGCAAGCCACGTGCCCACTGAGGGGAGCTGGGCGAATAACTTTGAGGAGGTGTCATTTGCCCCTTGGTCTGCAGGCTCTGGGCGCTCTGGTGGATTTACATGCTCTCCGATGTGCCCGTCAACTGCACGGAGGCGGGCCAGGGTGTGCTCCACCACCCACTGGGTGGCTGATTTCTCGCCGGGTTCTTGGCGGTTGCAACTGTCCTGGGGACAGACCCGGAGGCCATCCATCTGCCGTTTGCAGGGTGGATCACGCTTGCAAAGTTTGTAAGCGTGATCCACCCTGCAAACGGCAGATGGATACTCGCGAAGCACCTTTGCCCAGCCTGTGCCCACTCCGCTTTCTCCCTCTCGAACCTGCCAGGCGCGAACAAGGGAAGGAGAGCAACAATGCACACAAGCAACACTTCACTATTCATGTGGCTGCTCGACCTCGTTCTTCTTGGCTGCTTTGCGTCCTTCGGCTGCAAGCTCCTGCAAACGGGAATCCACACAACTAACAATAGCCACGCCCCAACTTTTCCCAAGTACCTCAGGGCGAGACCACGTCAGACCCTAAGGATCAGTCATGGTCAGTCCTCTAAGCGCTGCACTTGCAGCATCTGCTGCTTGCCACCCACAGTCTGGCGGCCGAGGAGGCGCGGATCTGCCCCATCAGCGCGGCAGACGGACGTAGCTGGGCCCTTGCGATCCATGGCTGAGGCTCAAGTCGAAGGTTCTGTTGGGCCTGAAGTCTCTGACATACTGATTCTTACGCTGTGGAAGTGTGCCTGCAGAGTGCCGGCCAGAGACTGCTGATGCGACCAAGCACTACCAATTTACAAGAAGTTCTCGCAGTCAGGTGGCTCGGATGGCTGAGAGCCTAAAGAAGAACGGCCAGATGTGGCGTGAGTGCTCTTCATGCAGGTACTGAGAACAACCAGTTCGGTCTGACTGCACTCAGTGCTCCGCATCTTCGGATTCGGTGAAACTGCATGGCATCGTGGAACAGCTTTTTCTCGGATCTTCAACGCAGATACTGTAATCGGCACCGCCAGCACTTCCATCGTGGCTGAGCTTTCAATGGGTGCGGAGGTTTTGGGTGCGTGTTGCACTCCATCCGACTTCATGCAAAGCCTTCCGGCTACTTTCCACGGCCGCAGCACAGCGTCTGCTGCAGAGAGTTGCAGAAAGCAAGCCACCAGACGCCTGTGGGCGTGGAACCTGGAGAAGGCTGTCGTGTGGGCTCTGCTGGGTCTGAAACTTCGGCTGCAACTTGCGCAGGCTTTGCCGCAAGCCACGTAGCCACAGAGGGAAGATGGGTGAACGCACTGGCTGGGCGCACGTACTGGGCCAGCGGAGGCTCGGTGTGGGCTACCGAGTGCGGCTGAGCAAATGCAGCCTGGGCTGGGGCCAGCCATGTGCCCACGGAAGGCAATTGCACAAACAAGGGATTTGTTGGGGCCACCCTGGGGTTTGGAAATCCTTCGTCAATTGCTGCCAATGCACTCACGGGCGGCGTTGCTGCAAGCCACGTGCCCACTGAGGGGAGCTGGGCGAATAACTTTGAAGTGGTGTCCATTGCCCCTTGGTCTGCAGGCTCTGGGCACTCTGGCGGATGTACAGGCATTTCGGAGGGCATGGACCACGTAGCCACGGAGGGAAGATGGCTGAACGCACAGGCTGGGCGCACGGACTGGGCCAGTGGAGGCTCGGTGTGGGCTACCGAGTGCGGCTGAGCAAATGCAGCCAAGCGTTGTGCCATAGAGGCATTTGCCACCAATGCACTCACGGGCGGCGTTGCTGCAAGCCACGTGCCCACTGAGGGGAGCTGGGCGACAAACTTTGAAGTGGTGTCCATTGCCCCTTGGTCTGCAGGCTCTGGGCACTCTGGCGGATGTACAGGCATTTCGGAGGGCATGGACACACGCTCTCCGATGTGCCCGTCAGCTGGACGGAGGCGGGCCAGGGTGTGCTCCATGACCCACTGGGTGGCTGATTTCTCACCGGACCCTCGGCGGTTGCAACTGTCTTGTTCGAGGACAGGCCCGGAGGCCTTTGCAAGCGTAATCCATCCTGCAAACGGCAGATGGATACGCGCAGCTTTCGAGGAGACCTCCTCCACAAGCACGCGGGCGCCCTCGTGCAGGTTACCAACCACTTCACTGCCCTTGCTCTTGGAGGCGCGCACCTTCGCCTCGCGCAGCACCTTTGCCCAGCCTATGCCCACTCCGCTTGCTCCCTCTCGAACCTGCCAGGCGCGAACAAACGAAAGGAGAGCAACAATGCACACAAGCAACACTTCACTATTCATGTGGCTGCTCGACCTCGTTCTTCTTGGCTGCTTTGCGTCCTTCGGCTGCAAGCTCCTGCAAACGGGACTCCACACAACTAACAATAACCACGCCCCAACTTTTCCCAAGTACCTCAGATTGAGACCACGTCAGACCCTAAGGATCAGTCATGATCAGTCCTCTAAGCGCTGCACTTGCAGCATCTGCTGCTTGCCACCCACAGTCTGGCGGCCGAGGAGGCGCGGATCTGCCCCATCAGCGCGGCAGACGGACGTAGCTGGGCCCTTGCGATCCATGGCTGAGGCTCAAGTCGAAGGTTCTGTTGGGCCTGAAGTCTCTGACATACTGACATGCGCTGTGGAAGTGTGCCTGCAGAGTGCCGGCCAGAGACTGCTGATGCGACCAAGCACTACCAATTTACAAGAAGTTCTCGCAGTCAGGTGACTCGGATGGCTGAGAGCCTAAAGAAGAACGGCCAGATGTGGCGTGAGTACTCTTCATGCAGGTACTGAGAACAACCAGTTCAGTCTGACTGCACTCAGTGCTCCGCATCTTCGGATTCGGTGAAACTGCATGGCATGGTGGAAAGCTTTTTCTCGGATCTTCAACGCAGATACTGTAATCGGCACCGCCAGCACTTCATCGTGGCTGAGCTTTCAATGGGTGCGGAGGTTTTGGGATGTTTTGGGTGCGTGTTGCACTCCATCCGACTTCATGCAAAGCCTTCCGGCTACTTTCCACGGCCGCAGCACAGCGTCTGCTGCAGAGAGTTGCAGAAAGCAAGCCACCAGTCACCTGTGGGCGTGGAACCTGGAGAAGGCTGTCGTGTGGGCTCTGCTGGGTCTGAAACTTCGGCTGCAACTTGCGCTGGCTTTGCCGCAAGCCACGTAGCCACGGAGGGAAGATGGGTGAACGCACAGGCTGGGCGCACGGACTGGGTCAGTGGAGGCTCGGTGTGGGCTACCGAGTGCGGCTGAGCAAATGCAGCCTGGGCTGGGGGCACCAAGCGTTGTGCCATAGAGGCATTTGCCACCAGCCATGTGCCCACGGAAGGCAATTGCACAAACAAGGGATTTGTTGGGGCCGCCCTGGGGTTTGGAAATCCTTCGTCACTTGCTGCCAATGCACTCACGGGCGGCGTTGCTGCAAGCCACGTGCCCACTGCGGGGAGCTGGGCGAATAACTTTGAAGTGGTGTCCATTGCCCCTTGGTCTGCAGGCTCTGGGCACTCTGGCGGATGTACAGGCATTTCGGAGGGCATGGACGTAGCCACGGAGGGAAGATGGGTGAACGCACAGGCTGGGCGCACGGACTGGGTCAGTGGAGGCTCGGCGTGGGCTACCGAGTGCGGCTGAGCAAATGCAGCCTGGGCTGGGGGCACCAAGCGTTGTGCCATAGAGGCATATGCCACCAGCCACGTGCCCACGGAAGGCAATTGCACAAACAAGGGATTTGTTGGGGCCGCCCTGGGGTTTGGAAATCCTTCGTCAATTGCTGCCAATGCACTCACGGGCGGCGTCGCTGCAAGCCACGTGCCCACTGAGGGGAGCTGGGCGAATAACTTTGAAGTGGTGTCCATTGCCCCTTGGTCTGCAGGCTCTGGGCACTCTGGCGGATGTACAGGCATTTCGGAGGGCATGGACACACGCTCTCCGATGTGCCCGTCAGCTGGACGGAGGCGGGCCAGGGTGTGCTCCATGACCCACTGGGTGGCTGATTTCTCACCGGACCCTCGACGGTTGTAACTGTCTTGTTCGAGGACAGGCCCGGAGGCCTTTGCAAGCGTTATCCATCCTGCAAACGGCAGATGGATACGCGCAGCTTTCGAGGAGACCTCCTCCACAAGCACGCGGGCGCCCTCGTGCAGGTTACCAACCACTTCACTGCCCTTGCTCTTGGAGGCGCGCACCTTCGCCTCGCGCAGCACCTTTGCCCAGCCTATGCCCACTCCGCTTGCTCCCTCTCGAACCTGCCAGGCGCGAACAAACGAAAGGAGAGCAACAATGCACACAAGCAACACTTCACTATTCACGTGGCTGCTCGACCTCGTTCTTCTTGGCTGCTTTGCGTCCTTCGGCTGCAAGCTCCTGCAAACGGGACTCCACACAACTAACAATAGCCACGCCCCAACTTTTCCCAAGTACCTCAGGGTGAGACCACGTCAGACCCTAAGGATCAGTCATGATCAGTCCTCTAAGCGCTGCACTTGCAGCATCTGCTGCTTGCCACCCACAGTCTGGCGGCCGAGGAGGCGCGGATCTGCCCCATCAGCGCGGCAGACGGACGTAGCTGGGCCCTTGCGATCCATGGCTGAGGCTCAAGTCGAAGGTTCTGTTGGGTCTGAAGTCTCTGACATACTGACATGCGCTGTGGAAGTGTGCCTGCAGAGTGCCGGCCAGAGACTTCTGATGCGACCAAGCCCAACCAATTTACAAGAAGTTCTCGCAGTCAGGTGACTCGGATGGCTGAGAGCCTAAAGAAGAACGGCCAGATGTGGCGTGAGTGCTCTTCATGCATGTACTGAGAACAACCAGTTCAGTCTGACTGCACTCAGTGCTCCGCATCTTCGGATTCGGTGAAACTGCATCGCATCGTGGAACAGCTTTTTCTCGGATCTTCAACGCAGATACTGTAATCGGCACCGCCAGCACTTCCATCGTGGCTGAACTTTCAATGGGTGCGGAGGTTTTGGGTGCGTGTTGCACTCCATCCGACTTCATGCAAAGCCTTCCGGCTACTTTCCACGGCCGCAGCACAGCGTCTGCTGCAGAGAGTTGCAGAAAGCAAGCCACCAGACGCCTGTGGGCGTGGAACCTGGAGAAGGCTGTCGTGTGGGCTCTGCTGGGTCTGAAACTTCGGCTGCAACTTGCGCAGGCTTTGCCGCAAGCCACGTAGCCACAGAGGGAAGATGGGTGAACGCACTGGCTGGGCGCACGTACTGGGCCAGCGGAGGCTCGGTGTGGGCTACCGAGTGCGGCTGAGCAAATGCAGCCTGGGCTGGGGCCAGCCATGTGCCCACGGAAGGCAATTGCACAAACAAGGGATTTGTTGGGGCCACCCTGGGGTTTGGAAATCCTTCGTCAATTGCTGCCAATGCACTCACGGGCGGCGTTGCTGCAAGCCACGTGCCCACTGAGGGGAGCTGGGCGAATAACTTTGAAGTGGTGTCCATTGCCCCTTGGTCTGCAGGCTCTGGGCACTCTGGCGGATGTACAGGCATTTCGGAGGGCATGGACCACGTAGCCACGGAGGGAAGATGGCTGAACGCACAGGCTGGGCGCACGGACTGGGCCAGTGGAGGCTCGGTGTGGGCTACCGAGTGCGGCTGAGCAAATGCAGCCTGGGCTGGGGCCAGCCATGTGCCCACGGAAGGCAATTGCACAAACAAGGGATTTGTTGGGGCCACCCTGGGGTTTGGAAATCCTTCGTCAATTGCTGCCAATGCACTCACGGGCGGCGTTGCTGCAAGCCACGTGCCCACTGAGGGGAGCTGGGCGAATAACTTTGAAGTGGTGTCCATTGCCCCTTGGTCTGCAGGCTCTGGGCACTCTGGCGGATGTACAGGCATTTCGGAGGGCATGGACCACGTAGCCATGGAGGGAAGATGGCTGAACGCACAGGCTGGGCGCACGGACTGGGCCAGTGGAGGCTCGGTGTGGGCTACCGAGTGCGGCTGAGCAAATGCAGCCTGGGCTGGGGCCAGCCATGTGCCCACGGAAGGCAATTGCACAAACAAGGGATTTGTTGGGGCCACCCTGGGGTTTGGAAATCCTTCGTCAATTGCTGCCAATGCACTCACGGGCGGCGTTGCTGCAAGCCACGTGCCCACTGAGGGGAGCTGGGCGAATAACTTTGAAGTGGTGTCCATTGCCCCTTGGTCTGCAGGCTCTGGGCACTCTGGCGGATGTACAGGCATTTCGGAGGGCATGGACACACGCTCTCCGATGTGCCCGTCAGCTGGACGGAGGCGGGCCAGGGTGTGCTCCATGACCCACTGGGTGGCTGATTTCTCACCGGACCCTCGGCGGTTGCAACTGTCTTGTTCGAGGACAGGCCCGGAGGCCTTTGCAAGCGTAATCCATCCTGCAAACGGCAGATGGATACGCGCAGCTTTCGAGGAGACCTCCTCCACAAGCACGCGGGCGCCCTCGTGCAGGTTACCAACCACTTCACTGCCCTTGCTCTTGGAGGCGCGCACCTTCGCCTCGCGCAGCACCTTTGCCCAGCCTATGCCCACTCCGCTTGCTCCCTCTCGAACCTGCCAGGCGCGAACAAACGAAAGGAGAGCAACAATGCACACAAGCAACACTTCACTATTCATGTGGCTGCTCGACCTCGTTCTTCTTGGCTGCTTTGCGTCCTTCGGCTGCAAGCTCCTGCAAACGGGACTCCACACAACTAACAATAACCACGCCCCAACTTTTCCCAAGTACCTCAGATTGAGACCACGTCAGACCCTAAGGATCAGTCATGATCAGTCCTCTAAGCGCTGCACTTGCAGCATCTGCTGCTTGCCACCCACAGTCTGGCGGCCGAGGAGGCGCGGATCTGCCCCATCAGCGCGGCAGACGGACGTAGCTGGGCCCTTGCGATCCATGGCTGAGGCTCAAGTCGAAGGTTCTGTTGGGCCTGAAGTCTCTGACATACTGACATGCGCTGTGGAAGTGTGCCTGCAGAGTGCCGGCCAGAGACTGCTGATGCGACCAAGCACTACCAATTTACAAGAAGTTCTCGCAGTCAGGTGACTCGGATGGCTGAGAGCCTAAAGAAGAACGGCCAGATGTGGCGTGAGTACTCTTCATGCAGGTACTGAGAACAACCAGTTCAGTCTGACTGCACTCAGTGCTCCGCATCTTCGGATTCGGTGAAACTGCATGGCATGGTGGAAAGCTTTTTCTCGGATCTTCAACGCAGATACTGTAATCGGCACCGCCAGCACTTCATCGTGGCTGAGCTTTCAATGGGTGCGGAGGTTTTGGGATGTTTTGGGTGCGTGTTGCACTCCATCCGACTTCATGCAAAGCCTTCCGGCTACTTTCCACGGCCGCAGCACAGCGTCTGCTGCAGAGAGTTGCAGAAAGCAAGCCACCAGACGCCTGTGGGCGTGGAACCTGGAGAAGGCTGTCGTGTGGGCTCTGCTGAGACTTCGGCTGCAACTTGCGCTGGCTTTGCCGCAAGCCACGTAGCCACGGAGGGAAGATGGGTGAACGCACAGGCTGGGCGCACGGACTGGGCCAGTGGAGGCTCGGTGTGGGCTACCGAGTGCGGCTGAGCAAATGCAGCCTGGGCTGGGGGCACCAAGCGTTGTGCCATAGAGGCATTTGCCACCAGCCATGTGCCCACGGAAGGCAATTGCACAAACAAGGGATTTGTTGGGGCCGCCCTGGGGTTTGGAAATCCTTCGTCACTTGCTGCCAATGCACTCACGGGCGGCGTTGCTGCAAGCCACGTGCCCACTGAGGGGAGCTGGGCGAATAACTTTGAAGTGGTGTCCATTGCCCCTTGGTCTGCAGGCTCTGGGCACTCTGGCGGATGTACAGGCATTTCGGAGGGCATGGACGTAGCCACGGAGGGAAGATGGGTGAACGCACAGGCTGGGCGCACGGACTGGGTCAGTGGAGGCTCGGCGTGGGCTACCGAGTGCGGCTGAGCAAATGCAGCCTGGGCTGGGGGCACCAAGCGTTGTGCCATAGAGGCATATGCCACCAGCCACGTGCCCACGGAAGGCAATTGCACAAACAAGGGATTTGTTGGGGCCGCCCTGGGGTTTGGAAATCCTTCGTCAATTGCTGCCAATGCACTCACGGGCGGCGTCGCTGCAAGCCACGTGCCCACTGAGGGGAGCTGGGCGAATAACTTTGAAGTGGTGTCCATTGCCCCTTGGTCTGCAGGCTCTGGGCACTCTGGCGGATGTACAGGCATTTCGGAGGGCATGGACACACGCTCTCCGATGTGCCCGTCAGCTGGACGGAGGCGGGCCAGGGTGTGCTCCATGACCCACTGGGTGGCTGATTTCTCACCGGACCCTCGACGGTTGTAACTGTCTTGTTCGAGGACAGGCCCGGAGGCCTTTGCAAGCGTTATCCATCCTGCAAACGGCAGATGGATACGCGCAGCTTTCGAGGAGACCTCCTCCACAAGCACGCGGGCGCCCTCGTGCAGGTTACCAACCACTTCACTGCCCTTGCTCTTGGAGGCGCGCACCTTCGCCTCGCGCAGCACCTTTGCCCAGCCTATGCCCACTCCGCTTGCTCCCTCTCGAACCTGCCAGGCGCGAACAAACGAAAGGAGAGCAACAATGCACACAAGCAACACTTCACCATTCATGTGGCTGCTCGACCTCGTTCTTCTTGGCTGCTTTGCGTCCTTCGGCTGCAAGCTCCTGCAAACGGGACTCCACACAACTAACAATAGCCACGCCCCAACTTTTCCCAAGTGCCTCAGGGTGAGACCACGTCAGACCCTAAGGATCAGTCATGATCAGTCCTCTAAGCGCTGCACTTGCAGCATCTGCTGCTTGCCACCCACAGTCTGGCGGCCGAGGAGGCGCGGATCTGCCCCATCAGCGCGGCAGACGGACGTAGCTGGGCCCTTGCGATCCATGGCTGAGGCTCAAGTCGAAGGTTCTGTTGGGTCTGAAGTCTCTGACATACTGATTCTTACGCTGTGGCAGTGTGCCTGCAGAGTGCCGGCCAGAGACTGCTGATGCGACCAAGCACTACCAATTTACAAGAAGTTCTCGCAGTCAGGTGGCTCGGATGGCTGAGAGCCTAAAGAAGAACGGCCAGATGTGGCGTGAGTACTCTTCATGCAGGTACTGAGAACAACCAGTTCAGTCTGACTGCACTCAGTGCTCCGCATCTTCGGATTCGGTGAAACTGCATGGCATGGTGGAAAAGCTTTTTCTCGGATCTTCAACGCAGATACTGTAATCGGCACCGCCAGCACTTCATCGTGGCTGAGCTTTCAATGGGTGCGGAGGTTTTGGGATGTTTTGGGTGCGTGTTGCAGTCCATCCGACTTCATGCAAAGCCTTCCGGCTACTTTCCACGGCCGCAGCACAGCGTCTGCTGCAGAGAGTTGCGGAAAGCAAGCCACCAGTCGCCTGTGGGCGTGGAACCTGGAGAAGGCTGTCGTGTGGGCTCTGCTGGGTCTGAGACTTCGGCTGCAACTTGCGCAGGCTTTGCCGCAAGCCACGTAGCCACGGAGGGAAGATGGGTGAACGCACAGGCTGGGCGCACGGACTGGGCCAGTGGAGGCTCGGTGTGGGCTACCGAGTGCGGCTGAGCAAATGCAGCCTGGGCTGGGGGCACCAAGCGTTGTGCCATAGAGGCATTTGCCACCAGCCATGTGCCCATGGAAGGCAATTGCACAAACAAGGGATTTGTTGGGGCCGCCCTGTGGTCTGGAAATCCTTCGTCAATTGCTGCCAATGCACTCACGGGCGGCGTCGCTGCAAGCCACGTGCCCACGTGTCCATTGCCCCTTGGTCTGCAGGCTCTGGGCACTCTGGCGGATGTACAGGCATTTCGGAGGGCATGGACCACGTAGCCACGGAGGGAAGATGGGTGAACGCACAGGCTGGGCGCACGGACTGGGCCAGTGGCGGCTCGGTGTGGGCTACCGAGTGCGGCTGAGCAAATGCAGCCTGGGCTGGGGTCACCAAGCGTTTGTGCAATTGCCTTCCGTGGGCACATGGCTGGTGGCAAATTGCCACCAGCCATGTGCCCACGGAAGGCAATTGCACAAACAAGGGATTTGTTGGGGCCGCCCTGGGGTTTGGAAATCCTTCGTCAATTGCTGCCAATGCACTCACGGGCGGCGTTGCTGCAAGCCACGTGCCCACTGAGGGGAGCTGGGCGAATAACTTTGAAGTGGTGTCCATTGCCCCTTGGTCTGCAGGCTCTGGGCACTCTGGCGGATGTACAGGCATTTCGGAGGGCATGGACACACGCTCTCCGATGTGTCCGTCAGCTGGACGGAGGCGGGCCAGGGTGTGCTCCATGACCCACTGGGTGGCTGATTTCTCACCGGGCCCTCGGCGGTTGCAACTGTCTTGTTCGAGGACAGGCCCGGAGGCCTTTGCAAGCGTAATCCATCCATCCTGCAAACGGCAGATGGATACGCGCAGCTTTCGAGGAGACCTCCTCCACAAGCACGCGGGCGCCCTCGTGCAGGTTACCAACCACTTCACTGCCCTTGCTCTTGGAGGCGCGCACCTTCGCCTCGCGCAGCACCTTTGCCCAGCCTATGCCCACTCCGCTTGCTCCCTCTCGAACCTGCCAGGCGCGAACAAACGAAAGGAGAGCAACAATGCACACAAGCAACACTTCACTATTCATGTGGCTGCTCGACCTCGTTCTTCTTGGCTGCTTTGCGTCCTTCGGCTGCAAGCTCCTGCAAACGGGACGCCACACAACTAACAATAGCCACGCCCCAACTTTTCCCAAGTACCTCAGGGTGAGACCACGTCAGACCCTAAGGATCAGTCATGATCAGTCCTCTAAGCGCTGCACTTGCAGCATCTGCTGCTTGCCACCCACAGTCCGGTGGCCGAGGAGGCGCGGATCTGCCCCATCAGCGCGGCAGACGGACGTAGCTGGGCCCTTGCGATCCATGGCTGAGGCTCAAGTCGAAGGTTCTTTTGGGTCTGAAGTCTCTGATATACTGATTCTTACGCTGTGGAAGTGTGCCTGCAGAGTGCCGGCCAGAGACTGCTGATGCGACCAAGCCCAACCAATTTACAAGAAGTTCTCGCAGTCAGGTGACTCGGATGGCTGAGAGCCTAAAGAAGAACGGCCAGATGTGGCGTGAGTGCTCTTCATGCATGTACTGAGAACAACCAGTTCAGTCTGACTGCACTCAGTGCTCCGCATTTTCGGATTCGGTGAAACTGCATGGCATCGTGGAACAGCTTTTTCTCGGATCTTCAACGCAGATACTGTAATCGGCACCGCCAGCACTTCCATCGTGGCTGAACTTTCAATGGGTGCGGAGGTTTTGGGTGCGTGTTGCACTCCATCCGACTTCATGCAAAGCCTTCCGGCTACTTTCCACGGCCGCAGCACAGCGTCTGCTGCAGAGAGTTGCAGAAAGCAAGCCACCAGACGCCTGTGGGCGTGGAACCTGGAGAAGGCTGTCGTGTGGGCTCTGCTGGGTCTGAAACTTCGGCTGCAACTTGCGCAGGCTTTGCCGCAAGCCACGTGGCCACAGAGGGAAGATGGGTGAACGCACTGGCTGGGCGCACGGACTCGGCCAGCGGAGTCTCGGTGTGGGCTACCGAGTGCGGCTGAGCAAATGCAGCCTGGGCTGGGGCCAGCCATGTGCCCACGGAAGGCAATTGCACAAACAAGGGATTTGTTGGGGCCACCCTGGGGTTTGGAAATCCTTCGTCAATTGCTGCCAATGCACTCACGGGCGGCGTTGCTGCAAGCCACGTGCCCACTGAGGGGAGCTGGGCGAATAACTTTGAAGTGGTGTCCATTGCCCCTTGGTCTGCAGGCTCTGGGCACTCTGGCGGATGTACAGGCATTTCGGAGGGCATGGACCACGTAGCCACGGAGGGAAGATGGCTGAACGCACAGGCTGGGCGCACGGACTGGGCCAGTGGAGGCTCGGTGTGGGCTACCGAGTGCGGCTGAGCAAATGCAGCCTGGGGGCACCAAGCGTTGTGCCATAGAGGCATTTGCCACCAGCCATGTGCCCACGGAAGGCAATTGCACAAACAAGGGATTTGTTGGGGCCACCCTGGGGTTTGGAAATCCTTCGTCAATTGCTGCCAATGCACTCACGGGCGGCGTTGCTGCAAGCCACGTGCCCACTGAGGGGAGCTGGGCGAATAACTTTGAAGTGGTGTCCATTGTCTCTTGGTCTGCAGGCTCTGGGCACTCTGGCGGATGTACAGGCATTTCGGAGGGCATGGACACACGCTCTCCGATGTGCCCGTCAGCTGGACGGAGGCGGGCCAGGGTGTGCTCCATGACCCACTGGGTGGCTGATTTCTCACCGGACCCTCGGCGGTTGCAACTGTCTTGTTCGAGGACAGGCCCGGAGGCCTTTGCAAGCGATATCCATCCTGCAAACGGCAGATGGATACGCGCAGCTTTCGAGGAGACCTCCTCCACAAGCACGCGGGCGCCCTCGTGCAGGTTACCAACCACTTCACTGCCCTTGCTCTTGGAGGCGCGCACCTTCGCCTCGCGCAGCACCTTTGCCCAGCCTATGCCCACTCCGCTTGCTCCCTCTCGAACCTGCCAGGCGCGAACAAACGAAAGGAGAGCAACAATGCACACAAGCAACACTTCACTATTCATGTGGCTGCTCGACCTCGTTCTTCTTGGCTGCTTTGCGTCCTTCGGCTGCAAGCTCCTGCAAACGGGACTCCACACAACTAACAATAGCCACGCCCCAACTTTTCCCAAGTACCTCAGGGTGAGACCACGTCAGACCCTAAGGATCAGTCATGATCAGTCCTCTAAGCGCTGCACTTGCAGCATCTGCTGCTTGCCACCCACAGTCTGGCGGCCGAGGAGGCGCGGATCTGCCCCATCAGCGCGGCAGACGGACGTAGCTGGGCCCTTGCGATCCATGGCTGAGGCTCAAGTCGAAGGTTCTGTTGGGCCTGAAGTCTCTGACATACTGATTCTTACGCTGTGGAAGTGTGCCTGCAGAGTGCCGGCCAGAGACTGCTGATGCGACCAAGCACTACCAATTTACAAGAAGTTCTCGCGCAGTCATGTGACTCGGATGGCTGAGAGCCTAAAGAAGAACGGCCAGATGTGGCGTGAGTACTCTTCATGCAGGTACTGAGAACAACCAGTTCAGTCTGACTGCACTCAGTGCTCCGCATCTTCGGATTCGGTGAAACTGCATGGCATGGTGGAAAGCTTTTTCTCGGATCTTCAACGCAGATACTGTAATCGGCACCGCCAGCACTTCATCGTGGCTGAGCTTTCAATGGGTGCGGAGGTTTTGGGATGTTTTGGGTGCGTGTTGCACTCCATCCGACTTCATGCAAAGCCTTCCGGCTACTTTCCACGGCCGCAGCACAGCGTCTGCTGCAGAGAGTTGCAGAAAGCAAGCCACCAGTCACCTGTGGGCGTGGAACCTGGAGAAGGCTGTCGTGTGGGCTCTGCTGGGTCTGAAACTTCGGCTGCAACTTGCGCTGGCTTTGCCGCAAGCCACGTAGCCACGGAGGGAAGATGGGTGAACGCACAGGCTGGGCGCACGGACTGGGCCAGTGGAGGCTCGGTGTGGGCTACCGAGTGCGGCTGAGCAAATGCAGCCTGGGCTGGGGGCACCAAGCGTTGTGCCATAGAGGCATTTGCCACCAGCCATGTGCCCACGGAAGGCAATTGCACAAACAAGGGATTTGTTGGGGCCGCCCTGGGGTTTGGAAATCCTTCGTCACTTGCTGCCAATGCACTCACGGGCGGCGTTGCTGCAAGCCACGTGCCCACTGAGGGGAGCTGGGCGAATAACTTTGAAGTGGTGTCCATTGCCCCTTGGTCTGCAGGCTCTGGGCACTCTGGCGGATGTACAGGCATTTCGGAGGGCATGGACCGCGTAGCCACGGAGGGAAGATGGCTGAACGCACAGGCTGGGCGCACGGACTGGGTCAGTGGAGGCTCGGCGTGGGCTACCGAGTGCGGCTGAGCAAATGCAGCCTGGGCTGGGGGCACCAAGCGTTGTGCCATAGAGGCATATGCCACCAGCCACGTGCCCACGGAAGGCAATTGCACAAACAAGGGATTTGTTGGGGGCGCCCTGGGGTTTGGAAATCCTTCGTCAATTGCTGCCAATGCACTCACGGGCGGCGTCGCTGCAAGCCACGTGCCCACTGAGGGGAGCTGGGCGAATAACTTTGAAGTGGTGTCCATTGCCCCTTGGTCTGCAGGCTCTGGGCACTCTGGCGGATGTACAGGCATTTCGGAGGGCATGGACACACGCTCTCCGATGTGCCCGTCAGCTGGACGGAGGCGGGCCAGGGTGTGCTCCATGACCCACTGGGTGGCTGATTTCTCACCGGACCCTCGGCGGTTGCAACTGTCTTGTTCGAGGACAGGCCCGGAGGCCTTTGCAAGCGTTATCCATCCTGCAAACGGCAGATGGATACGCGCAGCTTTCGAGGAGACCTCCTCCACAAGCACGCGGGCGCCCTCGTGCAGGTTACCAACCACTTCACTGCCCTTGCTCTTGGAGGCGCGCACCTTCGCCTCGCGCAGCACCTTTGCCCAGCCTATGCCCACTCCGCTTGCTCCCTCTCGAACCTGCCAGGCGCGAACAAACGAAAGGAGAGCAACAATGCACACAAGCAACACTTCACTATTCATGTGGCTGCTCGACCTCGTTCTTCTTGGCTGCTTTGCGTCCTTCGGCTGCAAGCTCCTGCAAACGGGACTCCACACAACTAACAATAGCCACGCCCCAACTTTTCCCAAGTACCTCAGGGTGAGACCACGTCAGACCCTAAGGATCAGTCATGATCAGTCCTCTAAGCGCTGCACTTGCAGCATCTGCTGCTTGCCACCCACAGTCTGGCGGCCGAGGAGGCGCGGATCTGCCCCATCAGCGCGGCAGACGGACGTAGCTGGGCCCTTGCGATCCATGGCTGAGGCTCAAGTCGAAGGTTCTGTTGGGCCTGAAGTCTCTGACATACTGATTCTTACGCTGTGGAAGTGTGCCTGCAGAGTGCCGGCCAGAGACTGCTGATGCGACCAAGCACTACCAATTTACAAGAAGTTCTCGCAGTCAGGTGACTCGGATGGCTGAGAGCCTAAAGAAGAACGGCCAGATGTGGCGTGAGTACTCTTCATGCAGGTACTGAGAACAACCAGTTCAGTCTGACTGCACTCAGTGCTCCGCATCTTCGGATTCGGTGAAACTGCATGGCATGGTGGAAAGCTTTTTCTCGGATCTTCAACGCAGATACTGTAATCGGCACCGCCAGCACTTCATCGTGGCTGAGCTTTCAATGGGTGCGGAGGTTTTGGGATGTTTTGGGTGCGTGTTGCACTCCATCCGACTTCATGCAAAGCCTTCCGGCTACTTTCCACGGCCGCAGCACAGCGTCTGCTGCAGAGAGTTGCAGAAAGCAAGCCACCAGTCGCCTGTGGGCGTGGAACCTGGAGAAGGCTGTCGTGTGGGCTCTGCTGGGTCTGAGACTTCGGCTGCAACTTGCGCTGGCTTTGCCGCAAGCCACGTAGCCACGGAGGGAAGATGGGTGAACGCACAGGCTGGGCGCACGGACTGGGCCAGTGGAGGCTCGGTGTGGGCTACCGAGTGCGGCTGAGCAAATGCAGCCTGGGCTGGGGGCACCAAGCGTTGTGCCATAGATGCATTTGCCACCAGCCATGTGCCCATGGAAGGCAATTGCACAAACAAGGGATTTGTTGGGGCCGCCCTGTGGTCTGGAAATCCTTCGTCAATTGCTGCCAATGCACTCACGGGCGGCGTCGCTGCAAGCCACGTGCCCACTGAGGGGAGCTGGGCGAATAACTTCGAAGTGGTGTCCATTGCCCCTTGGTCTGCAGGCTCTGGGCACTCTGGCGGATGTACAGGCATTTCGGAGGGCATGGACCACGTAGCCACGGAAGGAAGATGGGTGAACGCACAGGCTGGGCGCACGGACTGGGCCAGTGGAGGCTCGGTGTGGGCTACCGAGTGCGGCTGAGCAAATGCAGCCTGGGGGCACCAAGCGTTGTGCCATAGAGGCATTTGCCACCAGCCATGTGCCCACGGAAGGCAATTGCACAAACAAGGGATTTGTTGGGGCCGCCCTGTGGTCTGGAAATCCTTTGTCAATTGCTGCCAATGCACTCACGGGCGGCGTCGCTGCAAGCCACGTGCCCACTGAGGGGAGCTGGGCGAATAACTTCGAAGTGGTGTCCATTGCCCCTTGGTCTGCAGGCTCTGGGCACTCTGGCGGATGTACAGGCATTTCGGAGGGCATGGACCACGTAGCCACGGAGGGAAGATGGGTGAACGCACAGGCTGGGCGCACGGACTGGGCCAGTGGAGGCTCGGTGTGGGCTACCGAGTGCGGCTGAGCAAATGCAGCCTGGGCTGGGGGAACCAAGCGGTGTGCCATAGAGGCATTTGCCACCAGCCATGTGCCCACGGAAGGCAATTGCACAAACAAGGGATTTGTTGGGGCCGCCCTGGGGTTTGGAAATCCTTCGTCAATTGCTGCCAATGCACTCACGGGCGGCGTCGCTGCAAGCCACGTGCCCACTGAGGGGAGCTGGGCGAATAACTTTGAAGTGGTGTCCATTGCCCCTTGGTCTGCAGGCTCTGGGCACTCTGGCGGATGTACAGGCATTTCGGAGGGCATGCACACACGCTCTCCGATGTGCCCGTCAGCTGGACGGAGGCGGGCCAGGGTGTGCTCCATGACCCACTGGGTGGCTGATTTCTCACCGGACCCTCGGCGGTGGCGACTGTCTTGTTCGAGGACAGGCCCGGAGGCCTTTGCAAGCGTAATCCATCCTGCAAACGGCAGATGGATACGCGCAGCTTTCGAGGAGACCTCCTCCACAAGCACGCGGGCGCCCTCGTGCAGGTTACCAACCACTTCACTGCCCTTGCTCTTGGAGGCGCGCACCTTCGCCTCGCGCAGCACCTTTGCCCAGCCTATGCCCACTCCGCTTGCTCCCTCTCGAACCTGCCAGGCGCGAACAAACGAAAGGAGAGCAACAATGCACACAAGCAACACTTCACTATTCATGTGGCTGCTCGACCTCGTTCTTCTTGGCTGCTTTGCGTCCTTCGGCTGCAAGCTCCTGCAAACGGGACTCCACACAACTAACAATAGCCACGCCCCAACTTTTCCCAAGTACCTCAGGGTGAGACCACGTCAGACCCTAAGGATCAGTCATGATCAGTCCTCTAAGCGCTGCACTTGCAGCATCTGCTGCTTGCCACCCACAGTCTGGCGGCCGAGGAGGCGCGGATCTGCCCCATCAGCGCGGCAGACGGACGTAGCTGGGCCCTTGCGATCCATGGCTGAGGCTCAAGTCGAAGGTTCTGTTGGGCCTGAAGTCTCTGACATACTGATTCTTACGCTGTGGAAGTGTGCCTGCAGAGTGCCGGCCAGAGACTGCTGATGCGACCAAGCACTACCAATTTACAAGAAGTTCTCGCAGTCAGGTGACTCGGATGGCTGAGAGCCTAAAGAAGAACGGCCAAGGCATATGCAGATGAAGAAGCGCGCAGTTCTGAAATGGGTGTGTATCCAGCAAAACCATGTAGCAGAGCGACAGCATGCGGAACACTGACCACGACAGATTCGCTCTAGTTGCACTCGCCATTGCTTTGGCCGATCTTCCAATCCGCTGGATCCTGTGTCGCAACCAGGAAGAAGTCGGAGACCAGCGACACACGGACTCTGCACACGGCTGCAGGCTGCCGGATGCGCATGGTCCGAGTTGTTGGCTATCCTTTCAACATCTTTCAACACTATTGTGCTTGGTGGCTCGCTCGGGCGCGTGAGTCCATGTTTAAATCTTGCATATGCTCCCTTGGTCGGGAACTTTGCACACACCTTGATGCGCGCGTCTGACCGGAAAGAGAGACAAGCGCCCAGCCTCGAGAAGGCCAAGGTGAAACAAAACAAGCTGATTCGCTCAGTGCTAGAAGAGTGCCGCAGTGGTCGGTCCCATTGGTTTTGGGATTGACGAGAGGCGCCTAAGAGTTGTTTCAGACGTGTGAGCAGATCAACAAACTCAAACTCAAACATGCATGCACATACCATCCCTGTTAGGTCGCTAGGGTCCCTGGCTCAACCTCCATCAAATCCGGAACTGAGGCCTTGGGCTCAACTCCATCGAGTCAGGATGGACTCGACTCTGCAATGTAACTCACCACAACTTCCCACTCCTATCTCTTTCATAGCTCTCTCTGCAGCCACGCCGCTTTGCCAGAAGCCTGACAACCGGAAACCGCTGACACGGTGCTTGCATTTTCGCATTTCGGCTGGAGAAGTAGGCGGATGTTGAATTTAGACTCGGCAGATCATGGTCCGCCTGCATCGGCAGCGAGCCCTCCGAGGGCACGGTCGCCCTGAAGTCTTCAAAAGAGTGAGAGGTCTGTGGGCACTGCATGGCACAGCAGGAGGGACTCAGAATGGCTTGAGGGGCGGGCAATGCATCACTGTCTGGTACCTAGGAGCCGTTGTCTGCAGTTTCTCTGACTTGCATGAGCAAGCCACAACAAAGTTGTCAAAGCAATGCCCCAAAATCAAAGCAGAGCTGAGCCATGTCGCCCCGTAGCCGTGGGAGGCAAGGCCGCCCAGTAGCCGGCACTGCCCGGACCGAGGGACAGCTCCTACCTTCAAAAGGCTTCAGGGGGCATAAAATGGGTTTAGAGGTGGTTTGGGATTTAGGGGGTTTAGGGCACCTCCTGTAAGACATGCAGAGTTTCGTGGACCGAAGCCTTGGCGCGGATCATGCCAATCGCTTGGCTGACAGCCGCTTCCTTCTCTGACAAGTCAGCCATTGTAGACCTCGCTTGAGGCAGGCACGTGCTAGTGAAATCGTAACTGCTTATCGAAAGAGGGCGGAGCTGATCAATTTTTGTCTCCTGCTGCCGCATGTCTTTCATAATCTGGAGCAACTTCTCTTTCACTTCCAGCAAGAACCTGGGTTTTGCCAGCTTCTGCTCTAGGCTACCGCAGAAGCCATACCATCACACCTTTCTGTTCCGAGCGTCTCCTGGATCCTTCGCAGGGCATCGTCGGGCATAGAGTGGATCTTGTAACGGACCTCTGCAGACATCTGCCAGATAAGGCGTCGAGGCGCATGGTGACGGAGATTGCGGTGGGGCTTCACACTGAAGGACCGCTTCTGAGCGGAGTCTAAAGAAGCGCGTGTGCAGACGAAGAAAAGTTGTCCTAAGACTGTAAGAGCGCGAGGCTAACCACAGGCGCCTGGTACACCACATCGTCGATCAGTACCTTGCTGTCCTGAGACCATGGTCACCGTGTGCTCCCTGTGTATGGACCCCTCAATGGCGTTTTGCCAGGCTCCTCTGGGGGCATTCCCGGTCGGCTAACCCACGCAAAGACATCGGCCGTGTCTTGCGCGTTCGCCACGTTTAGCCTTGCGATGGATACATTGGATACATGCTTCAAAGCCCTGGATCAGTCGATACCACAACACAGGTGTCTGCCTCACGTTGTACACAGGCACCATCTCCTTGAGGGCCTCGAACATGTTCATGGCGGAGGCCCTGGGCAGAATGAGGCGCTGAAGCGGCTAAAGATCTGCTGCTAAGCCGGTCCTAAGTGGCTTAAGTGATTCAGTGGTCTCAGGATGTCCAAGGTTCCGGGCCCTCCACTGCCGAGACGACCTGATCTCGACGTAGTGATGATCGGGTTGTCGAACTCTGCGGCCTCTGCTTTCAAGACGCCTCTTAAGCTAAAGCAATGCGAAGAGATACCCAGAGCTGTGTGGAGAAAGCGAAGTCCAAGGGCCCTGGCACAGTGGAAGGATGCGATCAGGCCCAGGCCTCCGAGACCTCCTGTGACCTCAAAAGACTTAGACGAGTTGTTTTTTTTCATCTGTCTTCAAGACTTCAAAGGAATGTAAGGCATGTGAAGAGAACATGTCAGACGTTGTATGTTCTGGGTGCAGACGGCCCTCGGCAGCCGGCCATCATGGTGCCTACAGCCGACCTTGACAACGGAAACCCCCAGTCTCCCCTCTCCCTCTCCTCCCTGAGCCCAATCAGGCGATCGAGTCAACGGCTCATGTCACTGGATGTCGCTTGGCCCCACTTCACTATTACAGTTGCGTTCTGTAGCATCCCAACCATTCTGGTAGCGCGCAGCTTTTAACCAGCGTAGCACGCCGTGAACAAATCGATCGACCACAGCCGAAAGAAGAGTTACATTGGTGCCTATCCTAGCTTTCTCATACAATGGGATGCTGGTTTCGCCTGTGGCCTGAGTTCACCTATGAACTCCATCACATTGACGGCATCCATCTGCTCGGAGCATGATGCAACCAATGCAGCAAGCTCAAGAAGCTCACACGGCCTCCATCCTCCACCGACATCACCGATGTGAAGAGCTAGGGCACGGTCAGTGCCACACTGCACACCACTGTGGCACTGTGCTTCGAGGGCTAGTTCTTCCAACAAGTCTGGGCATCTGCGTCTTAGTCTCGCAGGTCGCGAAGGTCAATCACATCAGAGTCTTCGTGAGACATGGGCCTGTGCACAGGCACGTGCCAAGGAGCGTTGATATGTGAATGTACGTGACTTGCGGAAAGAAGTCCTGGGGGCTAATTGATACGGGGGACTGGGGCGTCCAGATCTATCGGCTCTGACAGCCCTCCAGCCCTTCTGAAACAAGCAGCATGTGAAAACGAGCGCACCTCTCTTCGGGTTGCTGGTTCGCATCTCCTCCCACGTCCGGCGACACAAAAAATGAGAAGAAGACCATGAAACCCAAAGCAACCCCCAGAGAATGGAGGATCACAGAAGAGCCTTGGCTTTCGGCTTCCACCGGATTCGGGTGTGGATCAGACGCAGCCACCATTTCCTGGGATGAGAGCCCAAGATCAGTGGCGTGTGTACGCTGCGCACGGTGCAGACATGCAATGCACGGAGAAAAAAAGTGCAGTTGGATACAAACTGCCCGCCGGCTGTGGCTCAGCTAAGAAGCAATCTCCTGACTTGGCCTCACGAGCAGGAGGCAAAGCAAGCTGAGAACAACAGAGACTCACTATGACACTCTGATGTGATCCCGGTGTGATCCGTCAGTCTTTGAGGACTTCTGGACACCTAATCTACTTAATCTTGAACCGTGCGGTTGCTGTTTCTGATCAAGGCACTCCGACGCATCAGTACCTGGGAAAGCTCTACAGCTCACAAACCTTCCCAAAGCTTGTTGAGGCACATCAGCAGATGCCCAGATGAATCGAAACGAGACAGACAGCAGACATAGATTGCTTCAAGGACCACAATTCTCATTCCAGGCTGCCCAGCTGGCGTGCCAGTTCCCGGGCATCAGCATTGGCCATGCTCGCTCGCGCCAAGCTTTTCCGATATCTCAGGCAGCAACGCAAGAAAATCGCGCGAGCTCCAATTAAACATAGCAACCCGACATGTATCAAGTGGCCACGCGCCTGACGACAGACGAGTACAGCCGCGGCTGAACCTTTCGCCTCAGGCGAAGCACAGCTGCGCACTTCCAAAATGGCTGCATCTCGAGCTCGGGCAACCGAAACCAAAAAAAAGGGGAGTGACTGAGGAGAGGACGGCTCCTCGGGCTGCCTCCGATTCTTACAACGCACTCCCGAGCCGAAGCCACAAAAAGCCATGAAGCCAGAAGAGGCCGACAAAAAGGTTGAAAAAAACTCGGAGAACAAAAGACAAAAGCGCAAAAGGATGCCAAAGCATGGTAAAGGCACATGTCAGCGTCGCCGGCATCTCCCTCCGGAGACTGGGCGGACTCGGGCTTCTTCCGCAGACCCAGGCGACGGAGGAGGGGGGTTAGGCTTCCAGACCTCGGAACTTGGAAGATTCAAAATGCCGGGCGCTCCTGCTTCACTCTGGAACTTGCCTTGTAATGTGAAAGTTGCCTCGAACATGGCATGCGTACATCTTGATGGTCTAGCTGCTCGCCACTTGGTCCCGCGACAAGGAGGAGAGCAGAAAAGAAGATCAACGATGTCACCACAGATACGCTGATGACGAAGCAGATGACTATCCTGACACAGCTTGGTGCCATGCACGATACCACGTTCCATTGGCCGGCATCTGCACAGAGGTACTAGAATGCTGAGGAGGCTCCCAAACTTGATGAGGAAGAGACCTCAGATGAAGATAAGAACGAGAGGACAGAATCCAGTGGAAGCCTTCCGAGACCGACTATGTAGAAAGCCTGTGGCGCAGTTAGGGCCGCTGTCGGTAAGGCAGAAGAACTCTTTAGCAAGAGCCCTGTGCCCTGTCAGTATTGCCGAATTGGACCTGAAAGGTCTGTGTGCACTTTTCATCACTGCCCTTGCCAGCAAGAATCTCTGGCAGAAGGTCATGAAGATGGCGGCTCCTGCCTTGGTCATGGTCTACAAAGGTGACCCCAGCCCTACACGTTCTTCACACATCCTACGCTTGCGTCTGTCAGATTCATTTCATTCGCTTGGTCAACGCGCAGTCGGCCTTTGCGATGGCTAGGCCCCGCCCCCCCCCCCCCCCCCGACCCCCGGCATCGCAACCTTGTGCCTTCTCTTCGCAACTCCCATGCCAGTTCTCACGTCCACGGCTCTTAGACATACCACCGGCATTTTTTAAGTTGCTAAATGCTCTCACAAGGTTTGTCAAAGCAGGCAAGCTTGAGAGCATGCAAGGCGCAGAGGAGATTGCTCCAGATATTACAGAGACACCCATCTTGGTCACCTTCAGCGATGCAGCATCCGCAGCTTCCAGCTGGAAGTCTACGTACAAACGAGTCATCATTGAGGGCCAGACCATAAACTGAACACGGTCCTCTCAGCAAGGCAGAAATTAAAAGCGTGTCACGTTCTTCAAGTTCCCTGACAGATGTCTGACTTCCTCAGTCCTCGCGGCTCTCGTCGGGACACTCAAGGTAGGCATCACCTGTGTGGAACTCTAAACACCCCTGAAGACTGCCCAAAAGAAGATATCCTGGCCTAAGTGGATCACGTAATCTACGGAGAGGCCGATGACCATGACGTAGATGATGGCCTCCGACACGCTGGTCTTCCAGTTCATGCAGACGGCGAAGGCCAGAACCGAGGAGACCTGCAGAAGGGAGACTCTACGTGCCCCACGGACAGACTTTTCAAAAAGCAAGTCAACAACAGCCGTTAGGGTTCAGCATTGTTAGGGTTTATCGGGATTTTTGGGTTTAGGGTTTCTGGGGTTTGTTGGAATACTCAATGTCGAGTCCAGGCTGAGATCTTGGCAATGGCAACGATGCACGAGACGGAGATGAGCGCAAGCAGATAGTTTTGAGTGGCTCCGAGCAGCACCAGGAATGCCAGGAACCTGAACACTGATCTTGGGACAACAAAACCTGTAAGGCATCGCATGCTCACAGTTTAAGGGCGAGCTGCAAAGAAAGCTTGATGCCATCAAAGACCTCAGAATTCATTGCGTCCTGCACCTGGAACCAGTGGAAGGCAAACCTGAGTTGCAGCTGCCATCCGATACAACATGCACACTGAACATCGAGAGCCTCCACTTCCCTGTGTGTGTGTGTACGCGCTTCAAACTCCCCTTTTTCTGATGGCCGAAAGCTGCTCTGTGTGAGCAAGCGAATCATCGATTACTGGCGCTGGGTTGTGTTGCTTCCCAGAGGAACGACAAGTGTCTCATGCGGCAAAACAAGCTGCTTCTACTGCCTCCCCTGCCCCATCTGCTTGACTCAGCAGACTTTTTTTTGACTTTGAAGACTATCTGGGCTGCCTGGAAACTTCCAGCATGGAGCAAGCTCCCAATGTATTTGCCGAGAAGCATGTCTGTGGCGAAGATCGCATTCGGTAGCATTGGCAGCATCTCCTTCACAACGGAAGGCACTGACTCGCGTGCAAAATCTTGTGAAGCAACTCCATTCCAAAGAAGCTTCAACTCCAAAGTAGCTTCAAGCAAGCAAAGCACCTTCTTTGCCTCACTCTTGGCAAAATCGTCAATAAACCTCTGTGCCGTCGCTCGGCTCACTGTGTCCATTCTGTGCATTCACAAACTATGAATCCAAGCAGCTTGTCCCAGTGATTGTTGAGCTTGATTCCATCCTCATGACAGAGCTTGAACTGATCCGTCCATCGCACAGGACAAGCATATCTAAAAGTACGCCAAGGTTTTTGTCCACATGAATCTGTGCTTGTTGAGGGAAGCATCGCAGCCCGACAACAGCCATGGAAAAGGCCAAGCTGCTAAGTACGGGATTTGCCAAGTCGTTTTCAATGCCACCTCGATGACAATGGCTCGAAGCACCAACACGCCGTCCACCCTGTCAAAGAAGACCTGCGGCCAAGAGAAGCGCTGCTCGAAATTTATGATTGTGGCATGCTGCAGCATCAATCCTCAAGAGATGAGGAGAGCCATGAATGGAATCAAGAGGGGTCCGGACAGGGACCCGCTGCCACGAAAGCAAGAGGGTGGGACGACAGGCCTCATCCTGGAAGAACTCCATGTTCCGTTGCCCCGACTGAAACATCCTCAGCGTATGCGCTGTCATGCAATGGTCCTGGGCGCGTTTTGCATCTGAGAAACTTGTTCGACGGAGGCATCGGCGATGACAGGAACTGAACAAAGTCTGAGTCCACGCCGCAGCAAAAGTTGCCTCAGAGTCGTGTCAAAACAAACGAAAAAGCGGCCCTGTGAATTGAGGCCATCCTGTAAGTACAGACAGGTCTAGGAGGGTTTCTTTTTAAATCCTGGCTCTAGCATATCGGCGGAGGAATGACGGAGATCGCCGATAGCTGGCATCTCTTGCGCAGTGCTGTTGGTTCCTAGGCCTCACTTGCTGCGGAAGAAGCACGGGTTTTGCGAATCCCAGTTTTAGCTTGCGTGCCATCGTACCGCCCTCGTCCTCGCCTCCTGCAGAGGGTGCCTAGAGGCGGGGCTGGTGCCTTCAGCCACTGCTTCCACGGAGCCTTGAGCGCTGCAGTGCTGCTACGTGCTGCTGTAGCGATTATCGTCGTTGAGTTTCGGGCACCGACGCTGATTTCCTTGTTGCTGGGCATTCATGGCCGAACAAGTGTTTGCACCATTTCGCTGTCAGGTGGCGGGTGGGTCCCGATTTTTGGTCGTTGCTTTGATAGCGATTCTTTGTGGATGTCCTCACAGACCGGAGGGTTTTAATGCCACAGTGCGAGAGGTGTCGGGACCAACAGTCTTGGGCTCGTGCATGCTTTGGCGCCAAGAGGTGCCTCGCTCACCCCTTCCAAGGAGCTTCCCTGTCTGGTTTCGTTGCGTGGTCGGCGTCCCGTCAGTTGAGGGGTGGGGGGTTCCTGATATGCTCTCAGATTCCAACTCAGAGAAGGGTTTGAGACTCGGCTGAGCTAGTTTCCGTGAAACTTCCAAGCACCCCTGATGCAAGCCCTTTTGGCAGGCTTTCGCGACATGTCCTCTGATTCCACTGGTGCTCATGACGGTACTCTGTTTGCAAGCAAGCGTCTCGAAGGAAACTCCTCAAAACAGGGTGCACAAGAGCGCCACTCTTTTTCCATGCATCCTCTCGATATTCCATTCTCTTTTGCAGATTCGTGTGGGCAGATAGGAATGCTGCGAATTGCACAGAGAAGAATGATGTAAAACACGGACAGACAAAGAGAGAGAGAGAGAGAGAGCGATAGAGAGAAAAAACAATAGAAAGAGAGCCAGAGATAGCTGCACCTTCGCACTCTTCCACAGTTCTGCACACTTCTGCACATCGAGCGCCATATGCTCTCCTTCTTCTCTTCGGGGGCGGCGGTCTGCTTGGCCGCCGCGTTCATGATGTTCTCAGCCAGACACCGGAGACTCTACTTGAGCTCACAATTCAAGACCTGTTGCCTTTACCCGTCTACTTTGCTGGCAGATGGCGATCCAGTGCTCAAAGTCGCGGAAGACCTCCCAGCGATGTCTGAAGGTTTGCATTTCGGATCGGCCTATAAACAGACAGTAACTTTGTGCCGAGCAACACACTTGAGCGGGGGCAAACCGGCAAGATCGCTTTCAGAAGCCACTCGAAGGAATGGGTACTCACCTGGGAAAAGCAGATGCTCAAGCTTGACTCTTCGGCAGCAACTGAGTTGCTCAAGGCCTCATTGGTTTAGACTCCAATGCCCTGAAATCGAAACCACATGCAAGAATGCTGGTCTCTGACTTATTCGTAGCAGAAAGCATATACAAACATCATCCATCTGACCACCAACCACCAACTCACATGCTCTAGGCTTGCTGCGCGGAATGGTATCTGCTCTGCCACAAGTTCGAAACCAAACAAAATCGTTCTGCGCCTTGATGCTCTTGTAGCTGCGATGTGTCGCCATCCCACTCTGAAACGTCCTCCAGAAGGTCCTTGCTTCCGACATGCGTTCGAGCCCTCAGCAGAATCAAGCTTGCTGCCAAGCTGCGCACAGCTTTTGAACAACCTTTTGCATTCCTAGGCACAGAAACGCTTTGTGCCTTGCCATGAAGCTCACCTTCAGCTCACCCATCTCCAAACAACCGAGTGACGCAGCTGCCTGCTTCGGCTTTCAGGCGATTTGTCGCCTGTGCAAACGATGGGATTCTCTGCAAGAACCAAGAAAAGGCCCTTTCAAGTCAAGGCACCAGAAGTGCCAAAGAGGTGATGGGATTTGCGCAAAAAACAAGACAAGGCCCGTTCAAATCAAGCCACCAGCAGTGCCAAAGAGGTCAATGTAGTTGGGCTTCTGCCCGGCGCAGTTGAAGAAGCAGTCATTGTAATCCGGCGTAGTGCCCCGATTGATTGGATCAGATGCATCGATGCCCAGATGGATCCGAACCTTCAACCGGAAGGGATTGAAAGTCTTCTCATACCTTTTCGCCAGTGTTGGCAGAAAGCGCTCGTAATTGTCGCTGGGCATAAAGACCTTGGGCATGTTGGGGTCGGGCGTGACGTATGTCGCCGTCCACATGCAGGCAGCTGCCCAAACGCCGAAAACGCCGAGCAATGGGAACTTGAAGGTCTTGACCTGCAAGAGCCCATAAGAGCAGCTGCCGCACGTGACAATGCACAGAAGCTGATCGTGTCCTGCATCATGTTGGGATGCCCTTTCTACGCAGTTTGTGCGTGCCGGGCTAGGGCACAGGCGAAGAGGAAGAATGTGTCGTGAAACCACCTGAGGCTCTTTGATGGCTGATTGCACTCTTCAATCAAAATCACGGTATTTTGGTCAAAGTCAAGGAACTTCTCCATGGGGCGCAGCGCATCTGCCTAACGTCGGCATGTCACAAGGAGGCACTCAGACAATGCATTGGTACCATTGCCCGGCAAACCAGCACAGTCCACTCAACACTTGCGGTGTATGACCGGAAACCTTCCCTGCAAGATCACAATACCCTCGCACAGTGCCCGCTCCTCGATCGAGGGCGTTGGCGCAGGCTTTGGCTTCTTCAGACGCTCGTTTGCACAGACCTGGCTCAGCATTCTCTGCTCCGCCAATACCCCAGAATGGAGTTCACGTGTTAACAACTACCCTACCTTCACGTTGCACACGGTCGCTTAGGACGGTGGTCGGACATGTGACGGCACATGGGGATTGGCAACAGCACAGCTTGAGTAACATGTTCATGAATTCTCACACGCATGGAATGAAATCAACTGTGCAGTGAAGACGATGGCCAGGAAGAAGGAGAAGTCAATGAAGAAGTTGGTCACGATGAGGCACGCCTTTGAAAAGCAATGAAGCACGGCTGGCTCCCAAACGTCTTCGAAACAGCTATTGCCAGCTGCTGCATGAGGCACGCAGAACATGCCAAAGGTTCTGATCGAAGGAAAGTCCGAGACTGAGTTCCTTAGAAAAAGCGCAAAAACAAAACACATTCAGAGCTAAAGCGCAGCTCTTGCCATTAGTCACAGGCGGGGCTGCCTCTGATGCTTCAGAAAAGTGTCGATGCGAAAGCAAAGAAAGTTGTCAAGGAGGTGCACCTTATCGGTTCGGAAGATTCGTTGTTATTCCTTATTATTTCCTATTTCTATTCTTACTTATTCTTACTGATTATTACTTATTATTACTCATGATTACTTATTGGTACTTATTATTACTGATTATTGCTGATTATTACTTATTATTACTTATTATTATTTAATATTACTTAGCATTGCTGATTATTACTTATTATTACTTATTATTACTTATTATTACTTATTATTACTTATTATTACTTATTATTACTTATTATTACTTATTATTACTTATTCTTACTTATTCTTACTTATTCTTACTTATTCTTACTTACTAGTACCTATTATTACTACTTATGACTTGTTATTGCTTAATATTACTTATTGTTTACTACTACTTATTATTACTATGAAGCAGATGAGCAGTGGAGCAATATCCGCCAAAGAGAGGTCTTGGAGACAGCTCTCGGCCCCAGACAGGCAAGCCTTCGAGGCGTGGTGCACAGCCGGGGACATGATGGCACCTTAGCAAAGCACCAGCCAAAGCACCTGCAAAGCACCTGCAAAGCACCTGCAAGCCAGCTTCAGTTTGGCAGGACATCTGGGAAGCCCTGCTCCCAACAAAAAAGGGACAGGGAGACGATGCAAACCCCGAGACATCAAAAGAGCTTTCAGGCTTTCGGAGGCAGACCGCAGCCGGCCAACACCACACATGTGACGAAATGGGGAAGACGGCCGGTGGATTTGCTTTCCGGCGCTCGACCGGGGTCCCGGGTTCGAAGCAATTGCCATCCGGAACAGACCAGCCCCCTTCTGCTCACAGGATGCGCATCGGAACGTTGTTTCCCTGCCCCCCCGCAACAACAGAAGCACAAGCAAGCTAGAAGCTACTCCTGAATTCCACGGAGCACTGAAGTTGGTGGGCCGTCCTTCGGCTTCAGCCTCGGCCTTCTCTTGGCCATAAGCATCCTGTGTCGCAGGCAGACCCCGGCACTTTCAGTCGAGAGCGGAGGTAAACATGACATCCGCCCCCCCTGCGCACCATGATGACGAAGGCATCATCCACCCCCACACCCAAGATGATGAAGAGGCCATTCAAGTGCAGCAATCCTCAGTTGCACGTTGGGCATGCAGGTGCTCCGAGAAGACAGCTTGTGCCAAGAATCCGATGTACCTCTGCCCAAAGACGAGCGTGTACAGCCTCAGCACCGGCTACGGCTCAGCTTGGAGCCCTGCTCACCCAGGCTTGGCGTGGGGATTTGTGAGGACCGAACCGGAAATCCGAGTCATAAAAGCCCTGCGCCACTTCAGAAAAGAGTATGACGCAGAGTCAGTACACAGGAGCGACTGAGTCGGAACGCAAGACAGGCAGTCAGGAGAAAAACGACCCACAGAAGAGAAAACAATCGAGACATGGAGACGAAGAAACGATGAACGACACAGCCTGAAGGGTGATTTTTGAGACTTCACATTGCTGCAACTTCGGTTGCAGAGGTTGCACACCACACGTATGAAACCCAGGTCGAGTGGACACCCATACACCCCTAAACTTGCCTCCATTGCACTGGCCATCAACCCAGCGACTTGTCAGTGTCATAAAACAAACCATTTCCCAAACCATCCACTCTTGTTCCCCGAATCAAGCCGCGACACAACAGCGCTGGGCCGAAGGCAAAGACGATCATGGCAATAATCTCAGGAGACAGAGTCCGGCTGATGGATTGAAGTGATTGAACATGTGCAACAACAAAGCATGGTTGGGCACTGAAACGGGGAGCTTCAGGTTGGCTGTTGATCATGTTTGTAAGGCAAGCCTGACACACACACACACACACACACTACGCCATGCACAACTGGCATGACATGCAACCAGCGACCCTCAAAAGTGAGGTTGTGCGTTGAACGTATCTTAATGACCTCTTTCCCGGGCTCAGTAGGTTCGTGATCTGATAATCATCCGAGCTCTCAGACTTTGACTGCCCGAAATCTTTACTACGGCATAGCTACTCTCAATCATGCAGCTGGGGCACAGAAACACCCAGGAATACAGAGCCTGTGGTATAAGAGATGTATGCCAGCATGAAAAGAATGGAAGCGGTAATCCAGCGTGCATCTCGAGGAATGTTGTAGGCGATGTACCTCATTCCCAAGGCTCCCCACACTCACTTCTTCCACATAGCTACAGTTATCTTGCATCAAGCTACTGTTTCAGCAGAGGGCTTCCATTTTGCATACTGTTTGCATCGAAGGACATCCTGAGTTTGGCAGAAGACCTTCGCATTGCCGCAGCGCAATCAAGACACAGAACTCATCTCAGCCAAGAATCTTAAAGCCTGGGCAGGCACGGACGATCATTCAAGAGGAGTCACACAACTGATCTGCAAAGCATTTGACTCGCCTTTGGCTTTGTTGTTCAAATCCACGAGCAGATCATTGTAGGTGTTGAAGATCCATTCCATTATGTATTCTGACGCCTACGATTTCAGAACATCAGCAACCATAAGACTGAAAACAGAAATTTCCTAACAGCAAAGCTACAAGATGGACCCTCAAGCGACGTGACAAGCTGGCCTCGTTTCGGCCTGTCTCGGCATTCATCCCGGTCCAGTGTTCATTTACATTCCTCGCATGACCAACGCAGGACCAACCAAGCTCAACTCCGCTTGGCAGCCGCGCAATGGTACCATGCCAAGCAGCTTGAGGGGAAATCCAAAGAAGAAAAGCGTGTGAAGCGATTTGACCTGCAATCCGATGACCAACTACGATGAACTCAAGGTGTCACGTGCTCTCTTGAAAAAATGAAGTCCTGACCTGGGTGTTGCGCTTCTTGCAGACGCCATGCTCTCGGTTCTGACAGCTTCCAGCATCGTCATCTCCAACCCTTAGCGGCTATCGTTAGTGCTACCAGGCTCCGCAAGTGTTTCGCAAAGCAAGGCGGGTCTTGCCGAGGAGCACTGTGAAGAGATTTGGGAACTTCTTGGGGAAGAGAACAAGTTCCTCCTGAGATTGGCGCAGCTGTTTCAAGACGCCTCTTTCACCGACTAAGTCAACAGTCAGATGCTGGACTGCGTCTGCCCATGCCAAGAATCGCGTCCAAGGTTGTCTCCGGTGAATGTGACACTGACAGAAGAAAAGCAGCACTACAAACACTCTGCAAGGGTCGAAACGAACATGCCGAATATAGTGCACACAATGAGACCCGGCCTATCTCCTTGGCACGACCAGCCTGCCCAAGACCCAAGCTTAGCCACCAGCTCGTGCGAACACCCTGCCCTACCTTTCGGAAGGTCGTTGGGAGAGTTCCGGCGTCGGCACTCACAGCCGCCAGACCAGCGACGCCGCCCGATCATATAATCCCTCGGCAATTCCCAACTGTCATTCCATGCTGGGTTGTTGAGAACTGGGCTGCTGGGGATCTCACCGGCACTCCTGCGCAACATTTCGACAAGATCGGTGTGGAGCAAGGTTGTTGGAGCCGGACGCTGAACTGAAACAATCCAGTGGCTGCCCGATGAAAACAGATGAGTTTGAAAATCCCGCTGAGCAGCAACTGACACTCCTGTGTTTGCTGTGATGTCCCAATCGTCGTGTAGAATGGCATAGGCACCTGACAGCTGCAGGAAGCTTCGCGGAGATGGCAGCTCAACGTCACTGCGCGTATCCACAGATCAAAGTCCAAGTCCAAGCCGGTGGACAGCCATCACGAACGGATGCGGAATCACCCGATCCAACACCCTCCGCCGAGCGAAGAAAGCATGGGCAGCGTTGTCACCTGAGCAGGTTGAGCACCTAATACCCGACGCCGCATTCAAAAAGCCCGACTCATGGCATCTTCTGCATTGTTCTGCAGCGAGCCGCCAGCAAGGTCTCCACATGTCTGGCTTTTCAATATTGGATTGCGCCTGCGCCGACTCATTTGTTCTGGATCACTGCAAGCTTCATTGCCTGAGGCACCCAGTTCAGTCCGCACAAACAGGCATTCGCGGCAATCTGCCTCTCTTTTGGCGAAGAACAAAAAACAAACGGAAAGACGTCACTGACCATCATTGGTGGCAGAGGTCGATCCTACACACCAAGTTGCTCCACTGCTGCGCGTGCTGTCTGTGATCAGCATTCTTCCATGGGCACTTCTCCTTGAAGAGTGAGCTCTTTACCTCTAGCTATGCCTTAGAAAGACTACATCGGCTGACGCTGCACAGCAGAGTCAAGACTCAGAGTGAACTCGACAAAGCTCAACTGAGTCATCATCGTAGCCTGGAGTGGTTTTGGTTCATGCACGCCCCCACGAAGATGCCCACCCCATCCTATCAACAGCTTGCGCTGGCGGCAAAGCAAGCCGAAACATCTTCGAGGCAATGCAAGTCTCGTGGCTTGTCCAGTAATTGAGGACCTTTGCAACGTATGCGCCCGCCTGCAGGAAGCACAGCAGCGCGCAGTGTGGTAGCTTCGACAGTTCATCAAGTGCTGGATCACTACATGCACTGAAGAGAAGAGTCACACTGCAATAGTAACTTCACAGCGAAACAAGGCGGAGGCGAAGGACAATCAAAGATACGGAGTGTGCATGTGTGAGAGGGCCAATGTGAAAGAAGGAGGGAAGGAGGCGGGGGGCGCTCCGGCTCGGCCTCGGGCTTCGTCAGCTTCTGAAAGCCTCTTTCGAAGTCCCACATCTGCTGCAGGCTGATGTCCCAATTCAGCGCCATCTGGACCTCGCATCTCTGGACGGGGCGCTGTAAGTTTTAGAATGTATGGCTTAGAGTTTCGTGCTTAGTACAGTTGAGGGTTTCTTGGCACTTTCTGAGGAAGCTGCCTATGAAAGGGTGTGTCCTCTCTGTCTCACTCTCTCTCACACTCCCACCATGTGTGGATGCATAGTCTCGTCAGTGACCAGCGGTTGCTACCACCATGAGGGAAAGCATCTGTCTGGCCGTTTGGGGCCAATGCCGGCAGAGGGGGTCCATGCTTCCAAGGCACATCATTGTAGATGAGGGCTAAACAGCCACAATTCGACATCTCCTGGCTCAGAGAGTCCAGGGGAATCAATGAGAGCACACTGATAAAATTAGCACACTGCTACTGCTGCACAGCACCCCGGTCCGAGGGCAGAGAGCTGGATGCCTCGCTGCACCAGCTATCCACAATGTCCTCTCAAAGCGACGAGTGCGCAGATGACAACTAGAGAAAGAAAAAGAGCGAGATAGAGAGAGAGAGAGATGTATATATATATATATGTATATATCGAGGCTAATGGGCTCACGTTAACTTCTCCGGAGGCTTTCGCGGGCTTTGCATTTGCTTTGCCGCCATATGAGCCTCGCCAGGATCTTGGCCGAGCCTTTTGTCATAGTAGGCCGTTGCCTCCCCATATGCGACTGCTGCGTAAGGCAGCAGGGCCATTTTAATCATTCACAGCCTTTGCAGGAAAGCAGCACCCCCCCGCCTTCTTCATGAACCAACTGCCAGTGACCTTTCCCATTTGCTCCTGCGCGCTATGAAAGTCAGCAAACCTGGAACACGGCCTTTGACAAGCCCTGCCTTCTGCGTATCTTCCGGCGGCACTACACAGCGTGTCAAGTGATCCGTCCTGCAGTCGTCACCATCCGACAGCATTCACAGCTCATAAATATGACCTCTGTGCGCTTGGGCTTTGGCCACTGATGATGCGACTCGTTGATCCACAAATACCCGGTTCGGCGTAAATCTCAGTACCGGACATGGCTGCAAGCTGGAGAGTACATTGCAAGGACAGAAGCACCAACAAGGATTGCCAAGAGGGCGGACGTTTGCAGATCTACTGTCCCGGTTTTGTAAGTGCAGCTGGGATTCTTTTCAGTTGAAAAGGTGGAGGGTCGGCTAGTGGCAGCCTCGGCAGCTTACAAGGAAGCAAACCGGCTATGCGCTTGCGCTCGAACAAGACCAAGACCAAGTTAAATGCGTCACCCGGTCCATCCCGTCTGCTAGCAGTTTGTTGCATCGAGTCTACCTGTGGTCGAATGTGGGATCATTGCGAGCTAAAGTGATGTCGTCTGCTGCTTGTCGCCAGCCTGTGTACTGACTGCAACGTTCACAACAGCCTAACGGAAAGCAGCAAGCACAAAGGACTTGGCGACCTTCGGCCATAAAGTCACCCAGACACCGTTCCACGGCGGCGGCAGAGCTGGCAGACTTATCGTGCCCGAATGACTGTAAAGGGAGAAAGGCAGTCAGTCAGGAGCCTAGTAGCATGAAAACCTTGTAGTGCATATGCATACATAACTGTATCCCAGTTGGACTTTGCCAACGATAGCAGGTGCTTACAACCTGGGGGGGGGGGGGGCAGCAACAAAGTGCCAGCCTGTGGCCAAATTCTGCAGGAACAATGCTGCTGTCAGAGGGAAACATAGGAGACAAGCTGCTCAAGACCATGTACAAACAAGTAGAGGAACTGCACTCACGCTGCGCATGACAACAATTTTGCCGTTTAGTGAATTGGCAAGCAATGCCAACGAGGCTGGGGATCTGTGCAGGATGTTGCTTATTGCTTGACGATGCTGGGTGAGCTTGACGACAAGCGAGCCCACGTACAAAAACTAAACTGCAGCCGAGCGACACTTTGTCTGCCAGGAAGAGAAGGGGAGATAGTGCGAAAGCACACTTCGGTGTTTTCGGCACCTCCTCGGTAAACATCCAGAACTCCAGGAGGCATATGCATGAGATAAATGCTGCTTGCCTTCTAAGCCCCACACCCGGCCCAGCCCCTTAAGCTGTTCGTCAGGCTTGGCAAGCAAGCACATGTCCTAGGCTGCAATGCGTTGGACATCAGCCGTCCAGTCCAACATGACGCAAGATGGAACTCATCTGCAGATTCGGATCTGTGAAGGCCCACTCCTTGTAAGTCATGACAGTCTCTTACATGCAGAATATGCATCAACTATCAAAGCAACTCGGAATGGCACCGCGGGACATGTTCAAGTCTGCACATCATGTATGCACAGAACAGTATTGTGGCTGCTGAGGAGTGGTCCTTGCCATCAGGTCCAGCACCCTTGGCCTCGAAGACCTTCTGCTCTACCTCACGGATGCCTCTGGCAGCCGGGGGGTGATCAGCAAGTCCACATGCATGCTCCATACATCCCTGCACCAAGCCTCGCCAGATGACACCGTGAAAAGAAAACAAACTGGAGACCCTACACAAGGAAAACCTCGCCTCGTGCAACAACCAGGCAGAGGCTTGCGAAAGAAACAGGAGGGCATTAAAGTGAGCGCCACACATCCCGCTGGGCACTTGTGGATCCTTTAGAACCTGCTACTGGACCAACCTTTTGAAAAAGGGCACAGCCAGGGCGCGTTGGAGAATATCAGTTTCCCACAGTGTCCCAGACTCATGTTCCACTTCCTTGCAAGTTGCAGCGTGCAAACAAGCTGGCCCCTGTTGTGCACATTCCTTATTGCTGCAGACGGGGCTCATAGATGATGTGAAGATAAAACATACGCTCAGATCCTCAGATGCATCGAAGTTGACAACAGAAGGATTGCAACCTGCGCAATTTTGCACCTTACCTGGCCTAAGCAAGGCGCGTTCCATTAGATCTTCACAGCCGGGACAGGCCAAGGCAACCTGTCTGATAAAGAATGTGTGAAAGGCACGCAGAACAAAAAAATCACTTTGACACAAAAACCGTTGTGCCTCCTTGAGGCTTCGGCCTGCATCTTGCCTACAGGGAGCTGCAAGACTGTGCAGAATTCCATCACACTGCCCTACCATACCGGCCTTTTCTTGGCGATGTGCTCCTGACTTCCAAAGCAACTCAGTATTGGGAACATGTGCCAACACTTCCACCACCAGCCGAGGCTCTCGAAGAATGACTGGAACGATGTCATTCGGGCGGGGGTCCAGGATTTTTATGCCCACCAGCAGGGCACAACCGATAAAGATGAAGCAAGAGAGCAAGCAGCAGAAGCCGCCGAAATAGAATCCTCCGCAGGGCCAAGGAGAAGTGCTTTTTTGCCCGTGTGCTCTCTAAAATATCTTGTCATCGCCCCCCACTTATACGCAAGTACATCCAAGCCACTCCAGGGACTGGCCTGGATACTTTGCACCAGCCACATCTCGTGATGCTCGTGGTGACCTCCATGGTGAGTTTACCAACGTGGCGCTATTGGCAATTGAATTATTGTCAATACGATACAATACGACTGGCATGCCATCGCCGATGAATCTCCAAGCAGGCCTGAGGAATGAGCACCATGCGCACCATGCGCACCAGCCCCACCATGCGCAGCATTCTCATCCGACGCAACGTTCGCGCCAGTCGTGCCCATGACTCCACCGTAGCCTCCACCGTTGCCGGGCTGTGACGGCTGTGAAGGCTGCGACGGCTGCGATGTCATTGACATCTGCGGCCCGAAAGGTTGCCCGAAAGGCTGGCCCAAAGACTGGGATTGGAAAGACTGGGCGAAAGATTGGGTTAGCAGTGGATCTGCGGCGGGGTTGTAGCCAGCCGTCTGCGCGCTCCAGTGCGGTGGGATTGCAGTGGGTGCTCTTGGTAGCGGGGAATGTCCCCAAGAGCTCCCTGTAGCTGGCATGTGCTGCATCGGGGGCCGCGCAGATTGCATCGGAGGCATTTGGGATGGCATGCTGGGGTGCATGAACCCGGCTTGACCATGGTTGGGAATGGGTTGTTGAGGCCATGGTTGCCCGGGTTGCCCTGGACCCCACCCCTGGGGATATTGCGGCGTGGGGAAGGCACCAGGCCTGCCTGGGCCATGGCTTGGATACATGACAAGATCAAGACATTATGTGGTTGTTTCTGGAAAGTCTTCACCTGACCCTCCTCACCGTAACATGCTTAGTGCTTTGGTCAAGATGTTGCTGTGAGGCCTGTCGCAACCTGCAACACATTTGCATGTGTTCTATTTCAAGCAAAGCAACTGAGCAACCGCAGCATGCCGTGTACTAACCTTGTTTACCAAAGAAAAATCAGCAGGCAGGGTTCATCCACCAATCCTTGCATGCTCTGCGACTACACAATGGAAAGGTTGACCTCGCTTCTTTGTTTGAAACTTATGGAAACCTAGCGACATCGGCACTGAAAATGACCTTTACCAGATGCCCCGTGCCCTATTATTTGCAACACATGATTTTCGCAAGGTTGCCCCCATTTTACAAGATGTCCTCTATTTTGCATTGTCGTATGCATTGCATATGCTAATTTCATGAACGTGTAACGTGACTTAAAAATAAAGCATAAACTGTTTGCTGTCGCCAAAACCAAGAAGTACCACTGGATCAGTTCTCATTGGCATGTTCTAGTGGAACCCAATGAAACTGCAAACTGCAAACCTAGCGGGCTCCCCTTTTTTGCGAAGACACCACGCAAGCCCACTCCAAATGGCTTAAGGTATCAGCAACGCAAAAAGAAATGCCATTTTTCCCAGGCTTGCCGGAAGTGGCTGGTTTGCTGCAATCGGGAGAGCAGGACCTTCGGCCTTGCACTTGCCGTTCTAAACGGAACCTCAATTCAGTGAGGATTGTTTCTTGTAGTAGCCGGCTCGAGCCACATATGCCCAGGCTTGAAACTGGCAAGCCAAGAAACGCCAAGCTAAAAACCCAGAAAAGAAAGTGGCGAGGCTTTGGCCATATCGGCGTTGGCGGCGTTTTTGATCATTCCCTAAGGACGCCAAAGGTCCCGCAAGGTTAAGCGGATGCGTTGCCACGATTTGATTTGGATGGCAGCTCTGCATGACCATCCGCGTCATCATTTCTTCTTCCGTGTGAGTGCAATCAATAGTTTGGGTGGATTCAAGAGGCTTGTGGTTTTCCCAACATAGCATATCCGGGCTTATGCGCTTTTCATAAGCCCAAACTCCGACGAAAGTTCCGAATATCCTTCAAAAGTTTCCAAATAATCAAAAAGTTTTCGAAACATCTTCAAAAACTTCCAAATGCTCGGTCAAAGATTGCGAGTTACTCTCACAAAAACCCAAATATTCTTCTTAAAGTTTTGAGGGTGCCGGAATTGTCTTCAAAATCCGAAAATTCGTTTCAAGCTCTTGTTCTGAAGAAGTGTACCACAATTGTTTTGACGTTCTTAACGATCGCGTAAAGGTTTTTGAATAGTTTTCAATTTTCTAACGAAGCTTCGCAAACAATATTCAAGAGTTTTCGACGGTCTTCAGAAAGTTTCGTGCATTTTTTCAACATTTCCGTGCGTTGCATTAAAACTTGAGAGTCTGACTTTATTTAAGGGTACGATAACACAACCATAAAAACAACGATTCACTTGGGTTTTTTGCCTAACAGCAAAATGGGGGTGCGAAGCACTCTCCCGCTTTGTTTACTGGGAAACCTTTCACTCGCAAGCTGGAACCAATCTGAAGTTTCAACCTAAACCCCAAACTCTGAAACTCCAACACTACCAGTTCCATTTTTACGACGACGATGACTTCGACTGCGACTACGACCACTACTAAGACAACCACTAACTACTACTGCTGCTGCGACGAACACTGCTGCTGCTGCTACTACTACTGCTTCTACTACTACTCTACTACTACTACTACTACTACTACTACTACTACTACTACTACTACTACTACTACTACTACTACTACTACTACTACTACTACTGCTACTACTACTACTACTACTACTGCTACTACTACTACTACTACTACTACTACTACTACTACTACTACTACTACTGCTGCTACTACTACTACTACTACTACTGCTGCTACTACTACTACTACTACTACTACTACTACTACTAATGCGACTACTACTACTACTACTACTACTACTACTACTACTACTACTACTACTACTACTACTACTACTACTACTACTACTACTACTACTACTGCTACTGCTACTACTACTACTACTACTACTACTACTTCTTCTTCTTCTTCTACTACTACTACTACTACTACTACTACTACTACTACTACTACTACTACTATTCGTGCTCCACTCAAGCTTACCTTTAAGCCAACAAAGAACAAAGACACATGAGCCTACACTTGGTGTGGTTCAGAGAGCGCAACGCTTACAGTAACGCACTCACTCGGACATTCCTTTTTTTCACGTGGAAGCGTGGGCAAACATGCACATGCGGGCCTCATGCCACGCAAGGACAAACCTTCTGCCTTGGAAAGCCTGTGTAGATCTACTTGGCACCTCATGCACAGTTGCAATACGAACCCAGCACTGACTCCCCCGGATGAGGGAAGCCATGCAGGCAGAAGAAGATCCACAGGCGGGATCCGTCAGGCACGGATCGGTCACACCCACTGGGATGGGCGGGCGGGCAAAGAAAATTTTCTGCATCTCTCAGCTGTCAGCCACTGTTACCGGGCATGAAGACTGCATACAAGCTGTCAAGGTGACATGCAGAGAGAACATGAAAGATGGGCATGCAGAAAATTTTGAAAGCACTGTGAAAACTCTTTTTGTTTTTCTTAAAGGCACGGTTGCAGGCAACCTAAGCGTTCGCTCCTCACGAAGGCGCTATCAACAAGTTGACAGCAAGCTTCGTGCTCCACTCAAGCTTACCTTTAAGCCAACAAAGAACAAAGACACATGAGCCTACACTTGGTGTGGTTCAGAGAGCGCAACGCTTACAGTAACGCACTCACTCGGACATTCCTTTTTTTCACGTGGAAGCGTGGGCAAACATGCACATGCGGGCCTCACGCCACGCAAGGACAAACCTTCTGCCTTGGAAAGCCTGTGTAGATCTACTTGGCACCTCATGCAAAGTTGCAATACGAACCCAGCACTGACTCCCCACATTATCCGACTTTCACCTTTTTACCTTTTTCCTTAAGAAGTTTTCGAAAACAGCCTTAAGGGTTTGACGGACGTCAACTGCACCAACCAAAGTGTTGCCATGAACGTAGGACTCCAGCTTTGTTCGAGAGGGATGGTCAGCAGGGTTAGACGGAGAAGGAACCCTGGCGTACCATGCTTTGACATCGAACTGCTCCTCGCTCTCCAGCAAGACATTTAGAAGCGCTTGTGCATTGTCAGACCTCGTGCAGCCTGAAATCGCGATGTCGCGGGAGGCATTGTTATCAACGAACCACAGCACAGGTGCATGTCTGATGACGTGTCCCCATACAAGCTGCGAAACAATAACTGCCAAAAGTTCAGCTTCAAAAATGACCGTCTTACGAAAACCCTCGGTCAATGCTTCAATCTGCCAGCGCTCAAGTTGCTCGGAAAAGGCACCTAGGAGTTTACCTCTGTCAGAAAACAGCAGGCCACCAATACCGCACGCCCAGTCCGATGCCTCTGGGTCGAAGCAGGCGTCCGTGAAGATGACGAATTTTTCCCGCAAAGATCCGTTCAAGACTCTGGGTTTGTGCTCCAGAAGCATCTTCCTGAACCTGTCCAGAGCGAAAACGCAATCCTCACACAAGGTATCGGACACATCACTATAGGCGTGCTTGGTGACTTGTCTAAGGCACATCCTAGCGGACCTTCCAAACAATTGACTGTCAGCAAACTGCATGCGTCCCCTCAACCTCAAGGCCAGAGGCTGTTTGAGGGAACCAGCGTCGAGTATGTCGCCAATGGACCCACAGAGTTCGCTCACCCTGGATGGGGTGTTTGCAAACTTCACAACTTTGTTCGCGCTCTCCTCTAAATCGACGACGATGCCAAGAGCTTCGAAAGACCTCCTGAACGGCAAGTCCTTCTTTCCGTCACTGGACAGTGTCCAGCCCAGGAGCTTGAATAAGCGCTTGATGGTAGCGTCAGTGCTGTGTGCGAGGCTGCCCGAACAAATCGTGATGAAGTCATCGAAATAGCAAACCCAAGGGAGGCTTAACCCAACAGTCCCTATGAACCAGATGCTATGCACTACGCGCAGAAACGAATAAACGCTTCTGCACGCGCCGAAAGGCAACGCTTTGAGCCTGAAGCACACGGGGGCGGCACGCTCATGGTCCCAGATGCAAACGTACGAGCACCAAGCGGAACTCTGGGACACCGCCAGCTGTCGATATGCTGCTTTCAAATCATGGGTACGACCCAAGAGTGGCTCATTGGTGGACCTCATGAGCTGAATGGCAAGTGCAGCAAGAACGTCGGTGGAATGGGGCTTTGGAGACTCATTTGTTTGGACACACGAGTTGACGTGCGATGCACTGAGGTCGTCTATCAGACGTACCTTTGACCCTTGCTGGATCCCGAACCGGCGAGAGACTACTGAGCCGTTAGGCAGCTCAGACGGATCAAAGGGCCCTTCCAACCAACCTTTCTGTAGTTCTTCAAGGGTTTGCTTCTTTACTTCTTGGTCAAGCAAATCACCCTGCGACTTAACACTCCGGAAGACACTGTGCCTGCCCTCATCGGCGGTGTCTCGCAACAAGTCCTCGGACATTGCCGCGGGTTTGAAAACAGGGTTGAATAGCCCAGTACTCGGAACTTCACCAGTCAACATGGTCCCTGAAATCACCTCCTCGATGACAGTTTTGTCAGGGTAGTTGAGGTCATCTGAGATTTCGCGCCAGACAAGAAGGTTTTTAGGTTCAAGGATGCCTCGGACGTCGGGATGCATGCCATCCTTGAGTTTGCATTCGTCTGTCCTGAGTTCCAAGCACCGTTTGAAATATTT